TCAGCGTTGAGCCTCTGCCCTGTGGGGAAGAGCCCCGCCCTGTATGAGTCCAGGGGGAGCCGGGCTTGGCCCACTATGAAAGCCAGAGGCCGGATGCTGGGTCTGCCCAGGCTCAGGGGAGGGCGGCCTGGGATCACGTGTGGCCAGATATCGCCACTCAGGGTTTTGAGTCTGGAAGTCAAGGGCCCAGGGAAGCCAGACACTTTGGAACTTGACTTCCCTGGAGGTGACATCGGTGCCCAGTGTGTAGAGGTGACACTGGGCCATGTTAAGGGCTGGCGCAGTGCAAGTGCTCCTTGGAGACGGCGCTGCTGGGGTCCCTTCCCGGGAGGCTCATCCTAGACAGCGAAGCCCTGCATGTCGAAGCGACCTCGGCTTGGCACCGTGAGGACACAGGCAGAGAGGCAGCAGCCCTGCCTGGCAATGTCAGCAGGGCTTCGCTAGGGCATTTGAACCGAACCCGGAAGAAGCAGTACCAGTTTGCTGGACTCCCCCTGGAGCCGCGCCGGGGACTTGCTCTGATGGAGGCAGGCAGCCGTGGGTCTCGCTGGGCAGCCGTGAGCAGGTGAAGGGAAGGGAGGTTGCTCCTCTGTGAGCTCAAGTGATGAATTTACGTTTGGGAGGGTGGAGCTGGAGGGACCAGAGACATCGAATACATGGGGCCTGGGTCTGGAGGAGAGACAGGGAGTTGTGAACGACAGTAGTGATCACGGCTGACTGGTGGAGGGCGCACCATCAGTTACCTTATTTAGGGCTCTTATCAGTGCACTGCCCTAGGCTGTTGTCAAGCATCAGCTTACTGAACTCTACGAAGGAGGTTGTTACTGCCCCCATTCTGCAGAGAGGAAGCTGAGGTTTGGGGCGTAACTAGCCCACACTCGCGTTGCTAACAATTACGCAGTTATGCCTGCGTCCAGCCCTGACTGGTTCCAAGGCCTCTTTTCTCTGCTCCGCCACCTGCTGACGTGCAGAGCGGTGCCTGGCCCCATGCTGGTAGTCAGCAGTGTCCTATTCACCGCACCCCATTACCTGGGATACCATTTATCCCTGACATCATTACGTTCCAGATCGATTTGCCTTTTGCCTGTCTTCTTCATGAGAATGTGAGGTCCAAGAGGGCAGAGACGTGGCCCTAGCTTTTCACAACTGTGTACTATGTTCCTAGAATAGTGCCTGGCACATAGTACCTGCTCAGCAAATATTGTAAAATCAATAATAATATTAATAACATCACATACATAGCACTGTCCAGTGCCTGGCATATACTAACTCACTTGATGCCCAGAACTACTGTTAATCCTCATATTAGAGATGAGTCATAAGTCACAGAGAGGTTAAGGAACTTGCTTAAGGTTGCACAGCTCAGCAGAGACAGTGAGGATTCTGATGTAAGTACCTTGGCTCTAGAAATCAGGCCTGTAAATGTGAAACTTTACTGCCTTTCATGACTGAATGAATGATTAGCTAAAACTGATTTATATGAGCTATAAAAGTGTACTTAGTAATGCATTTCAAAGTTAATAGTTTATAAAAATAAATTTTATAAATAATGAGGTAATATTTTTCTCTTGTTAGGAAAAAATAGTTAATACTTAAGACTGGTACCTGGAAAAATCTTTTTTTTAAAAAAATATAGGCCCAGATTCCTGGAAGATATGTTATTATAGCATCCCATGTAATCTGGTCCATAAATGAACACTGGCTTTTAAAGGCTAGTAAATCTGTCTGATTTGTATTCCAAACAGTATATTATATGTCTTTAATATTATTCTTGTAAGATAAACCTACTTCTTATGTTAGAAATTATAATAATAAACAGATGTTAATTATCATAATTTATTTGTTGGTCTAAAAGTTCAAGCTCATGCCAAAGAACTGTATAATAGAATTTGGAAATACAGCTGAACTGGAATCAGTCTTAAAACAGGATTCAGTCTTTTAGAACCTTTGCCCAATACAAATGTGTTGGCCTTTGCTTTGTATTTTAATACTAGGTCTGAATAAGAGATTGAATTAGACCATAAACTCATGTACTTCTAGCCGTATATATTAAATTAAGGTGTGGACAGGTTGAATATTGGGAAACAGCCTATTGACGAGGGAAAAGGCCAGCAGCATGGAGTTAAATGAGTTGAATTCTTCCCAGACAGGGAGAAAGACTAAAGTGATTCAAAGCCAAATTTGCCTGGTAATTAGTTATTTATGACACTTAAAATATTAACCTGTTTTAATCCATGTTCAAATGTTGGGCTTATTCCTTCATGCTATTAATATTTCTAAAGATGAATTTTTAATGATTTTCCTTCATACCAAGAATAATGGGCTTTCTCCATTCTTAAAGCACTTCTAGAATGCTCAGCTCTGGGATCAAATCACTTCCCAAATAAAGATGGTGGATATGTGTAAAAGCCAGGAATTGAACAGAGCGTTGGTGTTGAATTTGGTTGTTCTCCGTAATTATTAGCGGCTTTAAATGGGAATATGTGCCTTGATAAGAAAATGTTCAAAGAAGGGTAGTCAGTTCAGTCGAGCCAAGCAAGAAGCCCGAATTACTGTGCTCCACTTCTTCATTGTCCTCCGTCTGTCCTTTGCTCACATTTGGTCATTTGCATTGTGAGCTCCTTTATGCTCGCCTCTGTTACGGCATCACCTCATTATTGACAGGATTTCGCCTTACGTTTTAGGTTGGAATAGTTGCATGGTTTGGTGAATAGGTGCCGTTTAGACTGATAACAGGTCTGCATGCATGAGTGCCTTTATACTAGAGTTTTATTCCAAATGGCTCTGCTGATATAACATTTTCTTACTTTCTCTTGATTTTTCACTTGAAAACTCGTTCTCAGTCATCTGTCCAATTACATATTTAACAATTTGCTTTGTATGTACAAAGTGCTGCAAGCTGGTGAAATGGCACCTTTAAGGAGGTCTAAATCTTGTGTTCAAACAGACAGATAAAAAGAACATATATTCTTAAAATTCTAAGTAGTAAGAACTGAGATAGGATTATTTGATAGTAAGTCTTATTGCAACCTTTTAAATTATTTTATATTAGGAGTACTAATGCATATGAGTATATGTGTATCTGTGTGTGTGTGTGTGTGTGTTCACATACAGGACATACATATGTGTGGACACATATATATACAAAACAAGAAAAAAGCTCTTGGGCCCTTCTGAGGATTTTATTTATAATTAAAGTGACCTTGGCTTAATCAAGAGTTAAATCAAGACCAGGTTTCTGAGTGTCAGGGGAGAACCTCCTTTGTATTTTTGTGACAAAAGTATTCACCTTTGGGGACAGTTACAACACAGCACGCTGCTTTTTGAAATGTGTCTATTCGGGGATATTAGGGGTACTGAAAACTTGATGGCCGTTTTTGTTCACCAACTGAAGCACATATGAAATCCTAGCATATGATGTAGTAAAGACAAAGTAATGGAGAGAGAAACGATTATCATCCAGAGTCCATTTCGGTCTAGAGCCCCTCTCCTCCTTTGTGCTGACTAAGCCTTTGCCTGCCGCCCTCGCGTGGCTTTGACAGAGGTTCTTGGAAACCCGTCTGCATCTGGGCCAGGGACGTACACTCACAGCCTTTCTGGGGACAGTGCCTGTCCAACCTAATACCTTCACATCACATATATTTTCTATAATCTAGGAAGGATAATAGGGAAAAAATTTTGAGGCACATTTTTTTTTTTCCCTCAAGAAAGTTTTTGACTCAACTGTTTTAACTAGATTAAAGGATTTTTAAAGCGTATACGTAACAGTTTTGTCATCTGGACACTGATGTTTTCACTTTTCTGGCTCCTTTCCATTCTCTGTTCACATACTGATTTGTTTTACATAGTAGGAATCATGTCTATTTTCCTTTTAGCATAAAGACTTTGCCACTGTTAAAAGGTTTTATTATTATAATTTGAGTGCTACCTGAGAGCTCATTTGCTACTTATTTTCTCATAAAACTTTTTGAAGCATTTGCTATGTTTCTCTTCTAGCTAGTCATATTAGTATGCTCCCATATTATTTGAAAGTTTTAGGCAGATCGTGTTACTAGTTTTTTTCACACATGATTTTTTATGCTTATATACTTCCTCATGAACATGTACCTATATATTCATTTTTGAATGACTTGCAATTCTTATATATTGCAACTTTTAAAAAGACATTGAAAATTGCAGCAATACTTCAAATATTTAGGCATTTATTCTTAAAGTTTTATCTGTAGTAATTACCAGAAAACAGTATAAAACAGAATGTACTCAAGTTTCTTGGTGGGGAGCTGTTAAAACTTATAAGATGTCTGACTTTTGGTTTGTAATAACTCAAAATATACTGAATAGGGCTTTACTTCAAAGCTAACATTCATAGCCTTAAAATATTAATCTCTTTTATGCTTCCTTAACCAGAGCTGTGTCTTATTCCTAAATCTTAGTTCCTTGTATGTTTATGGATTTGGAAATCCTGTCATTATGCTATTGCCTAAGTACTTAAGGACTGTAATTCTAGAATTTAGACCCAGAACTCTTCATTACATGGTGTTTTAGCATTTTTTAGGGCACATAATTTTTTTGGGGGGTAAATTGGATATTACATCGTCTTGTTTAGCTAAGGTGTTTTATTTTCTACATGCTACCTGTGTTGTGTATCAGTAACAATTGTTTTTATGCCTCTGAGTTATCCTGCATATTTCTCCTGGGCACTTCCCTTCCAGTCATCTTTGCAAATCTGCAAATTTCAGGTCAGCTTCAGGCATCCCTGCAGACCCTTCTCAGAGGTCAGCAGCACTGCCTGGTGCTGGGGCACTGGACAGGCTGTGTGCATTCAGCCCAAATCCTTCATTTTTAATAGCTCCTGACGAGAAGAAAAAGAGTAATATTAGGAAGAGTAAAACATCAGGTTTCTAAACATACCTGCATTTTAAAACTGAGTCCTTTTATTTTTAATTGGAGTGACTGTTGTGTTTTCTTTTCTTTCTCTTCCTTTGCTCCTATTTCTTCAGGAACTCCCCAGAGTCGTCCTCCTTCACCAGCTGTCTGAGCAGGAAGGTGCATGGACCATACTCCCACTGCTGCCGCAGTAGGTTGAACTCAAAATGTGCAAATTAATGACATTTCCATTAGCACTTGTATTCTCCCTCATTTTCTCATTAAAAGGGAATGTTTTTCCTCAGAGGTAGTAAGTAAATTTAAACTCTACTTTCTATGACTACTACATTAACCAAATTTCTTGATAGTTGATTCTTAGTAATGAACAACTTTTATTTTCAGGTGTTTTTTTCGTAAAGATAAAATGTTGATATATTTCCTATTTATATTTGAAAATAATCTGTCTTCTAAACTTGTTATGGACAGAATTAACTTTAATAAAAACTCCAGCTGTTTCACAGACTACTAGTATCTGGGTTTCCTATAAGCTGAAACTATCTGCTGAAGAAAAATTTAGGGGAAACTAGATTTCTTGTCATTTTCGATGTCCATCCATTTCTTGATGATCAGTTTTAAACCTTATTGTAAACCCTCTGTAGAGAGGTGATTACTATAACCTGTTTCTTTCTGTCAGCTTTTCTGTAACTTATGGCAGAAATGCATCATGGATTTTCTTCTGTGAAGAAGAGACGAGAATTCGAATTCCAGAACTCTTAGAAACACTCCGGAGATACGTCCCATCAAAGGTGAATACTATTTCAATACTAGTTTTTATCTTTTGAGTAAAATTCTTAAAAGAAGATTTAATTTTAATGAGATTTCTCAATTTAATAAAAACAATTTAAAATTAAAAAGAATGAAAGAATAGTTGAGTATCTGAAGGCTACGCTAAATAATCCTCTTTGAAGTCTCTAGCTTTCAGAGGGATGAAACCTCTAATGAGCCATTTTTAAACGATGAAATCTGTTTGTGTTAGCAATTTCAGAGAGTTGAAAAAACTGTAACTCAGAATTAAGAAAGAAGTTTAGATTGGCTATTTCTCTTTATCAACAATGATCACATATTTTAAATAGGAAGTATCTCTTGCGTACTGACTGTGTATCAAGCGTTATAACAGCAGGGCCTAGGGCCAACGGGATCCTGACCGCATGGACGGTGTGGAATAGCAGCGAGAGGATGGGCCATTGAAGAGGCAATTACCGTTAAAAGTGAGACATTTAATAATGAGGGAAGCCTTGGGTGCTGTAGGACGCACACAGCAGGCACCAGACTGAACCTGGGGGGATCCCGACAGAAGTTACCTTTGCTCTGAGTCCTTAGGATGAGTAGGACTTGGCAGGAGAGAGGGTTCTAAGAAGACCGAATGCTACTTGAGAAGGTCTGGCAGTGAGAAGGGGTGCACCTTGCCTCAGAAGGTCACCGTTACTTTCATGTTTTCATATTTTACTTTGTGCACATGATGTAGCAATCAGATCATGTTTACCTCTAAAAGCCTAGCACTTAGCAGAGTTTTGAACACAGTAGGTGGTCAGTAAATAATTGTGACAACTGAGTCATCCCCAATCAGCTTTCCCTCTGGGCTGTGTTCAGTGTCTCAGGAGGTGCCTCGGAAACACGTGAGGAGTAACTCAGGCTACTGAGCTCTCTTGGAGAAGCCCAGGCTGCACCCTGATCACGTCCTGAACGTCAGGTACATCCTGGATGTTACGGAATTCTTTAGTCTTGGAATAAGCAGAACGGGGGCCTTTCTGTGCCAATGGACGGCAGCCCTACCCGTAGTCTGAAGCCCACTCCAGAACTGAGTCAGGCTGAATGAGGACATGGGGAAGGAGAGGGGGCCCCCGGGTGCCTGCTTGGTTGCTGATGTAGACACAAGAAGTTGGGCATCAGTGACCACTGGGGTGACCTCTCAGACACTGGCAAGCTGGCTTATTACCGCAACAAAGCCATTAGGTTTGATGTTCTTTAAGTGCTGCAGGGATCCTATGATTTTTCATCATGCTTTTACTTTCTGGGAAGATTCAGATGTAATTGAACGAGAAGGTTGTTAGGCTAAAAAAAAATAATACCTTCAAAGGAGAAAAGAATTATGAATGTGTCTCACCCCATCTTTTCAGATGATGCTAGCCAGCGTCTACTGCTTTTTGCCATGTATTCTGTAAAACATTTGTTAGGCTTTTATGTTCCCTTTTGACTTGAGAAAAACTCCCAGATCTTTTTAGGCTGTAGGAGTTTTAATCTCTTCCCAGTGTTCGTTTCACCTGGAGATTATTTTTCCATTATCTATAGCTCTAAATTCGTACAGAAGATGGTGACTCACTGTGCTTTTTAATGAAAACTGGAATGATAAATTTAAAAGTTCAAAGCAAGTTCATGAAAAGCAAGTACAGTACAGAGGTAAAATGAGATGTTTCTCCTCTCTTTTCCGAACTCCGCCATGTAAAAAAAAACATGTAGGCTGCTTTCTTTCTTTCAAAGCTCGCATTAGGGACGAAAGGTTATACAGTGTTCAAGTTAGCTCAAATGACTGTGTTTTTTTCCCCACCATTTGAAATTTTAGGGCAAAAATATAAAGCAAACCTGGCTTTGATATTTGACACAAATAAACTATAATAAAATAATAATTATGTAGTGTGTTAGTACCATTACTTCGATTCTGACACTTTTCCTCTTTAATATCTTTCTGTCATTCTTACTAATGCAAACTTATGCTGTTTTACAATACTTTAAATGGAAAAACTTAATCTTTATTAAAATAATTAATCTTTGTTAAATTGCTTGTCTAGGTGATTTCTATAAATTTCCATATCTTGCTAAAGTCTTTTTCTTCCCTATCGCATGCTTTTAGTGTAGCTGTGCATTTGCTGAAATGTCTTGACTTTTAGAGGTGAAATATGGCTGCTGGTAAAGAACAATTCTGTGATATTAATAGAACACTGTCTAAGTTACTGTTTTATAATTTATATGGATTATAATTATTTTTATTATGAAGCTATTAAGGAAATCATTAAGAAAGATGAGAGAGTGCCTCTTACCATAGATCCCATATTAATATCTCCTTTAAGGTAGTTTGTGGTATAACCTTCCACTAAAATACTGAAAAACAATCTCAAATACTAGATAATAGCTGAACACAGCCATTAGGAATAAAAACATGTTCTGGAGAAAATTATGTTTGGAGCAGGAGATGGTAAGAGTGAAAGATTAGTGAAAAATATGCTAAAGTGTTTATTTTTCCTTAAACAAACAATTGACATGTTAGGTTAAATGTGATGATACTCAGATTGGCTTATGTTTACTAGTTTGATTAAGTCCTTTGTTACTGGGTTTTTTTTTCAAAGATGTTAAATTTTATATCTCAGTCCAAAGCTATTGCCTTATAATTATTTCTTTTGCTCAGTGATGACTCAGTATATCCATAAAGTTCAGGAAGCAAATCATAGGGCGGCTTTGTGAGCCTAAGCAGGCAGTTCTACGGACGGCTTTCACACACGTTCAGTTACAACCTGCTGCTGAATTGACCAAAGCTAAGACTTTGTGGGTATTTGGGATGCAACCACAAGCAGCAGAGGGCTCTTAGGAGATAGTATCCCTCTTGCTCTTATTTTCTGATAAGGAATAGGGAATGAAGTGGTGATGGTTGGGTAAGAGAGAAAAGATTTAAGACTTTCAGAAGTTAGGGTACTTGATTTAAATTACATGCCTAACAGGGTAGTTGCCTGGTAAAGCTCTCCTGGGCTCGCTCCATTCATTTCTCAAAAAACTAGTGAGTACCTATTACATGTTAGGTATTCTGGGGAAATATAGCAGGGAGCAAATGGACAGCTTTCCTGCCTACGAGGAGGGGACACTCTTGTTTCTTGCCTACAAGATGGGCAATAGGCAAAGATGAAAGTGATGTGTCAGGTGATGAGAAGCGCTGTGGGAAAAATAGAGCAAAATTGGAGGGATAGGGGACCATTGGGGGTGGGCTTACTATTCTCTCTGGGGTGCCCAGGCCATACCCCACTCAAAGGTCACATCTGAGCAGAGCAGGAACCGAGGGCGTGAGCCACGTGCCCCCACTCCTTTACCAAACTGCCTAATTTGATAATTCTTCCACTTACCTGTCTAATGGGAACCTCATATTCAACATGTGCAAAACTGAACTCTTAATGCCCCTTTGAAATCTCTTCCGTTTTCCATTTTCCTCATCTCAGAAATGGTTATGACCATCTATCCAGTTGCCCAAAAACCTGAGACTCATGGTTGGATTCCTGTTTAATCCTCAACCCCATGTTGGCATATCCACTTGAGTCTACCTCCCAAATAAACCTCTCGGCCATCTTCTCTCCACATTCAATAGCGCCACTGTGGTCCAGGCTACCATCCTCTCTTGCTGTGACTATTGCTGGAGTGCCCTGGCTGACCTCCTTTCTCCGTGCTTGCCGTCCTAATAACTTAGCCTCTTTGAGATGTGGATCATATCACTCCCCTGCTCAAACACTTCCAGTGGCTTCCTGTTCCAGTTTCACTAGATAGTACATTTCAGGTTGGCAGTAATTGTCTTCTGTCACCGTAAAGATATTATTCCACTGTCTTCACATTCTATTATTTCTGTTGAAAAGTCAACTGTATGCCTGTTTCTGCTCTGTTGAAATAAATGTGTACCTCCCTCCCTGCCAAGCTACTTTTAAGATTTTCTCTATATCTGGTTTTTCAACAAATATAGACCTTTGTGTGGTTTTGTCTTTGTCTTTGTCTTGACTGGAATTTATAGGACTTCTGGAATCCCTGGCGTGGAGACTTCTGTTAATTCTAGAAGATTCTAAGCCTGCCTTTCTTCAAAGAGTGCTGCAGTTCATTATCTCCCTCCTCCTATCCTGGATTTCCAATTTCATGTATTTGAGACCTTTTCACCGGGTCCAGTATTACTCGTTTGCTTTTTTTCTTTATTTTCCTTCTTTTCTTTTTTGTACATCCATCAGAATATTTTTTACTGACTTACCTTGCAGGTCACTAATATTCTTTTGTGTGTAACATCCTCTTGAATTCCTAACTTTGGTTATTGTGTTACTCGGTTTTAGCATATCTGTTAGACTCTTATTTATATATTCCAGTTCTTCATCTTTTCATCTATTTCCTTAAATATATGAGTCATAGTTTTTTGTTTTGTTCTTTTTTAAAATTTGATCTACAAAAAATATGATTGATCTGTGCATCTCTAGTTCTCATTTTTCTTTGTTTTTGATCTGGCCTTGTTTCTTGGTATGCCTGGCACTTTTCCAGTAAATATCAGATGTTCTGTGTGAAAAGTTGAAGAGGCTGTGGGGGATACTCCTGCCGAGAGGAGGGTTCACAGTTCTGGGCTGCAGGCCTTGTTCGGGTGGGTCTGTTCACAGCCACCCTCTCCCCTCTCCCCTGGCAGATCTTGCACTTCAGCCTTTGGTTCCCGGCACCAGTGCTGAAGTCTTTGCTCAGGTTTTTAGCCTCCCCACCCCTGCTTTCCTCTTGTTCTTGGATGTTACCCTGGTTTTTGCACAGGCTTAGGAGTTAAAGCAAAATTACATGCAAAATTTTGAGCTCACTTTTCTGGGATCCTCTTAAATTTCTGCCTTCTTGGGGTCTCCAGCTCCAGCCTCTGTGTCAGTTCAGTGAGGGTGCGGAAGTCCCCAACCACTGCTTTGTTGTGTGCTATTCTGGGCTCTGGGAACCAGCAAATTCCTTGAGGGTACAAGGTGGTGAACATGGGTTTCCACGGATGGGCTTCCCTTCTTTCAAGGATACCAGCCCTCACATCCTTTCTGTCTCTGTTTTCTGATGTCCTCTATCATTTCTCTTAAGTATTTTTCTCTAGTTTTTATACTTGTTCTTAGTGGGGGAGTAGGTATAATCTATGTTGCTTTCCACTGGCATCTGAAACCCACTCTGATCTGTCTCCTACCTCTCTTTCATGTTTCCCCACACCCAGTGGCTGCTTGCCCCATTCAGGGTGCCAGGCCCTTCCCACCTCAAGGACTCTGTATTAACTGCTGTGACTGCTCTTGTACATAGCGAGCTGCTTGAATATTATTTACTCCCAATTTAATTGTTACCTCACTAGAGGTTTCTCTCTCTTTCCAGGATGGCCCCCCAAACACCCTGTTTTATTTTTGTCATAGTACATTGCAATCACTATCTGAACTTACTTTATTCACTTGCTTTTTTTCTGTCTGTCCACTGTTGTATAAGCTATTCCCTTCTGGTTTGGAATAAATGTTAAATGTTAACTGATAGCAATTAATAATAAATGTTAATTGAATGAATGATTGAATAAGGTAGGCACGGATTCTGGAAGGAACTTTCCAAATTATTACCTCATTGTAAAGGAACACTGTTTTCTCTGCCTTAATAGTATTTTGATATGGAATATTCTATAAAACACAACTTTTATTTATTTATGGTATAATGATTGCTAACATTTTGTTCATCTTGATGATATGACATTAAATTATTCTCTTACTAGACAGATTGTGCTTGTTCATATTATCACAAGTATTAATTATATTGTTGTTAAATTCTTTAAATATATGTAATTTGTGTTAATTCTCTATCACCCAGACTATTTAACTAAAACTAATGATATGACTTTGTTTTTGGTCTTATGTGAACTGGCATTTTAGAGAAATGACATTTTATATCTTTATTTAACAGGAATGGTTTTTAGGAAAAGCATTACATGATGAAGAATCTACAATAATTCACCATTATGCCTTTTCTGAAAATCCTACCATTTTTAAATATCCAGACTTTGCTGCTGGCTGGGCCCTTAGTATTCCACTTGTAAACAAGTAAGAATATATTAGACTTGTTATTTTTTTGGTGTGTGGGCCAACTTTCATTTTGCTGAGTATTGTCACTGATGGATCTCAAGTGGATTTTCCAGCCAGAGGCAGCGTGTGGTGGAGTGGAAAGCCCTGTGGCAGGAGCCGTGCCCCTGAGGGTTCTCGTGTCTGCTCTGTCACTTACTAGCCCCTCAGAGTGACCGCTCAACCTTTCTGAACTTCGTCTTACTCACCTGCAAAATGAGGTGACTAATAAATTGTGAGAATAATAATTGTGAGGGTGCATAGTGTCCTGAGGTCTCAACACCCAGAAGTGTTTTTCCTGTTGTTAATGGACCTGGTTAGCTGTAGGTGTGTCTTTGATCGTCAGTAAGAAAATGAATCTGTAACATGCCTGGAGTTGAGTGTACATGACTAATCATGTACATGGTTGTACAGGCTTAAACATGAGCCAGGCAGGAGGGATGGCTCCCGGAAGGCACTGTGGGTATTCCTGCCTCATTGCTTGTGTGTATAATCGCTATAATGCTTTTTTAGATGTGGAAAGTAAAGATAATTAAGTTGTAATTCAGTAGAAATAGGGTTATTGACAGATCCTCTCTTAATCTGAATACTTCAGATTTATTATTATGTGTTTTTGTTCTTTAGAGAACGGAAAGTTGATACAACAATTGTGGCCTGTTTCTATTCTTTCTTACATTAAGTGTTCTGTTTCTAGGGTGTGGAGTCTTGAAAAACTTTATAGCTCAGTGTAGATATACAAGGTAGTGGATAAGACACCTTGTCATCTGTGGCTTTCAGCCTAAATCTGGTTTCCTTTATGGTTTCAAGGCGGTCAGAGCTATGCGTTTCTTGTTCGTGTCCCGCAGCACAGAACCCCTCTAAGTGATGGGCAAGCAGTGCCTCTCACTCTCCAGTCGAAGTCGTTCGGGTGAACTTCTGGCCAAGTACCAACCCCTGGACCTCAGCACTTGCCAGGGAATTTCAGTGCTTTGTTTGGGATCAAACTGATTCCGACACGGGAGCCCTTTTCTTGGGCTTCATCATCAGTCAGAATCAGAATCCTCTCAGGACGCATGAAGGGGCAGCTCTGCAGGACGTGCCGGCAGGCAGCAGTGAGTGCCCACACAGCCCTGTTGATGCCCTTTGTCTCCTTTCCTTCACTTAATGGCCCACTTGGTAGGCGGGGCAACAATGTGTAGGTACTTAGGTATTTCTCCTGCTGAGTCCCTTGAAGAACTGGTTACTTAAAGACATTTTGTAACACATACTTTTTTAGACTATTTCCCACCAAAAATATTGTTTGCACTAGCAATCCCACAGCATGAGTTTTGAATGGACATTGCCCCACATTTCCTGGCGATCCATCTATGTGGTCTTCTAACAGCATCAATAAAAAAATACATTTGCATTTTGGGAGGAGCTCTCATTTTCAGTAAGAGGATTTCTTCAAACAGGTGTGTTATTGTGGAACACTGTTACTGGTTTTCTCTGTGGTTTTTCCACCAGCAAACTTTATCTAGATTTTCTTCAATATCCTGCTCTGTTGACTGGCTTGTAAGGACTCGAAAAGTCAGCTAGGAAGTATTCCTGGGATGGAGTCGAAGGGGCCTTCCGTCTTTTGCAAGTTTCCAGTCTGGCTGGTTGTGTCATCAGAACTGTGTTATTGGGACAGGACGTAATGCCATCAAAAATAAGGAAGCTGAATATCAAATGTCATATTTGCCAGGAACTGAATATTTAATGAGGAAATATTTTGTTTGAGTAATTGGAATTTCTGGCCGTCACTGGTTTTCAGCATTGTTGGTTATTGAAGTCAGCCTTTGAGAAACCCTTGTTCTGTCCTGCTTGGGGTGTAGAAAAATGAAACCTAGTTTCCACGTCTAGGAGTTGCCTTCTAAGTTAGGTGAATGCCCTGTGCACTTTTAGAACTTGAACATGTTTTCAAGGTGACTGACTTAGGTTTGGGGTGTCACATGAGGCTGGCTTACAAACATGAAGTTCATGAAGCTGAGATGACCATCACTTGTTTATGGGAGACTCCATGGGCCGCTAGACACGGCCACTTCCAAATGTCAGTGGTATGTATTTATTTGTTCTCAAATCAGTCGTGGTCCATCTTAAAGAAATTCTATCAGTAGACTTTACTGTTTTCCTCTCGGAGGTTTTTCCCAAAGAAAAATTGACAAGAACTGAATGAGAAAGAAACTTAGAAAAGTAGAGAGTATGTGTAGAGTAACAATTCAGAAGTGTTTATTGTGTATTAAGATGGGGCATGTGGAGCACGGCCACCTGACGGTGGATGATGTCACGTGCCACTGGATTCTGATCACAGCTGTGCATCTCTTGCCTGTGGCAATGAGCCCAGCTATGACTTTTTTTGGTCTTTGGAACCTGAATGCGGTCTGATTAGATTTTGAAGGCACTTATGTCCAAATTCCAAAGTTATCCTGGTAGCGTTTGTTAATAAAAACTGTCTCCAGCTGAACAGAATTCAAACTAGACAAAATTCCATGCCAGGGCAGACTTTTTTCTCTTAATGTATTGGGGATATAGCTGAGATCAGAGTCTCTCTATTCTTACCCACCCCTGCTCACAAATCTGGGGGTAGATCCTGAGCAGGGACGTAACAGAGATTACATGACGCTTCTTGTGGAGCTACGTGAATACCAACCATAAGGCAAATGCTTTATAACTAATTGTAAAGTATAACTGCCACCCTCATTCTTTATCTGCCCTCTAATTAGAAGTGAATTTTTAAAGAACTCATGTGGTTCATCCAGGCTAGAAACTCAGTAAAGATTTTTGAAACTTATTCCTACTTCCCTTTAAAGTATATATTGGAGGTTTGTGACTGAAACCGACAGTCCAGTCGCTAGTCGTAACAAAAGTAGAAGGACCATTCGATGTTTCGTGGTCTTGGTAGGTATGTAATTCTACCTCCCTCAGCTAGGAATCAAAGAATGTATTGGCCTCATGCATTCAGGCTGCTCCCTGCGTGCACATGTGGCCAGGCACGCAGGCGCTGCTGGCGATGCAGTACACACAGGCTGTAACACATGTGACCCAGCTCATGGGACTGTGCCTCCTACTCTGGCAGCAAAGGATGTTTCCATTTATTCTGATGGGTAAGTCTGGAGAAGTTTCACACAGAAGGTGCCCTTGAGTATGGTCTTGAAGAATATGCCAAATAAAATTGGGCAGGGGCATCCTAGGCAGCCAAACCGCCAAGAGAAGAGCGGGCAGGAGCGTGCTCCGGGCCCAGGGGGTGAGTGCTGAGAGCCCGCGTGGGCTGGGCGGAGCCCTGACGCCGTCCAGCCCGGTGCACACGGGGGCTCCGGCTTTACTCTGCATGGAAAGGAGCCACTGAAGATATTTAAGTAAGAAAGTGACTTGAAATGAAACTGTTCTTCTTTCTTGAAACCACACGCTCTCTCCCCTAAAAACTCCACCGAATGTAACTCCTTTGGGAGACTGGGAAACAGCAATTTGTGCTTCTCAGCCATTATAGCTTTTTTCCTTTTTTTTCTTTTTCTTTCTCTTTGTCCTTTTTTAGTGTAAGGATTATTAGGAGTCAACAAACCTCATGGCTCTTGTTTTAATAAAGTATTTCGTTTGTTTTATTGTATTGTATTTAATTTTACATAATTTGCCAGATGTTGAAATAATGAATGCTACATTAGCAAAAAGTCTTGCATTCATTTCCCGGTCAAGGAATAACTGCATTTCCAGTCTTTTGCCTCAAGGAAATTAAACTCTTATTTTTATCTTAAAATTTCTACTTTTATCTATTTTCAAACAGAAAATGTTTTAGTGTTAACTACAGATGTGTTAGTCTTGTTTGATGCTTTTGGTTTAAAAAACTCAAATTGTCTCTCTTTTCTAGGCTTACCAAGAGATTAAAGAGTGAATCCCTGAAATCTGACTTTACAATAGATTTAAAACATGAGGTATGTCATAGTTTGGTTAAAAGTCTTAGTGATCAAGAAGTCACGTCTTTTGATACAAAAAGTGTTTTGTGTTCCCTGTCAGTGCATGTCCCTGCCCCCCACTCGCATCTTCTCCCCGCTGGGGTTCCACTCCAGTGACTTAGGGCCTTCTCTGTATGCTCATCTGGGTCAGGTTGGTGGAGAAGGAGCAGCGAATATGATTGCATCTTGGGATTCCTGATTATTTTTTTTTAAAGCTAGGTGGATGGGTCCAGAGACAGATTTCTAAAAACATGTACAAATGTCATCGACGGTACCTCTGGTCTTACTCGGTGCTTTGGTTAGACGTGTGGCGTTGTCACGTCTGTGTGTGTGATGCCCCTGGAGCAGAACTGAGCCAGCTGGTCCTACGCAGGCAGCTACGGCATGCCTGGGCCCAGCCCCCTGGCCGTCGGCGGACAACTGTGACCAGTCACCCTGGAGGCAGGTGCCAGGGGGTCCCATCTCTAGTCCTTCCTGCATCATGTTAGGAAGGTCTCTGTAGGTCTCACTCACGGGCACGTCTGACTGCCTTTCCCCTCTGCAGGCATCTGTGTCTTAGCCCCTCAGGGCTGATCCAGCGGTGCCGGCAGCCCGTCCTGAGTGAGCCGGTGCATGCAAGACTGACTTCTTGGGTGGTTTTAAATGATGAAGTAGCTTGTTTGAGGAGAGATATTCATGTAAAAAAAATCATTCTTCTCTTCCACAGAAAGGAAAGAATGACTAGTAGAAAGCCAGGGTCTGCCTAGTTATTTTTACTGAAAAATCAGCTCTAGTCTAGACATTCAGGTTCAGGAATGTATTAGACATTGAATACCTACAAAAGAATACTTCCAACATACGCAGAGGGTAAAAGGATCAGTCAAAATATCTATGTAGTCACCACCTGGTTTAAGAGACAGGACATTCCCCGTCCTCCATCAGAGTTAATACTTCCTCAGATTCTCTCCTTTTTCTTCATATTTTACAACATATGCATGTATCTCTGACTAATATGTGAAGTAGTTTTGTTTCCTTCTGGATTTTATATACATAATTGTGCCATGAATATGGTTCTAATTTGGAGCTCATCCATGTTGATACGTGCAGTTCCAATGAACTTATTTTAACTTTCTATAGTTTCTCATGTGACTGTACAATTCATTCATTCATTCTCCTGGTGGTGGGCCTCTGGGTTGCTATAGGTTTTTGCTATTGTAATCATTTGCTTCTATGAACATATTGATGCATGTGGTAGTAAGAGTTTCTCCAAGCTTTAAACTGTCTTTTGACAATGACCCACATTAAAAAATACATTTTTCAAAAATAATAATAATAATAGGAGAAATGTGGGATCAACATATAAATCAAGTACAAAAATCAAACGAATATTCATATTTGACCTGATTGTTTATAGGTCATAATGCATGATCAAAACCGAAAGTTTCTGTGATGACTGCCCTTGTACGGTTCACCATGTAAGAATTTATTCACTACGTAAGAATTCGTTCACCATGTAAGAACTTGTTTGTTATGCTTCAGAAGATTGGAGACTGACGAGAATTAGGCTTGGGATGGATTAATGATTGTACATTGAGCGTTGTCCCCCATATACTGAATTTTATTGTTAACAACCATTTGATCAATAAATATGAGAGATGCCCTCTCAAAAAAAAAATACATTTTTCTATGTGACCCAGTATATTTGTAAATGTTGTTATTGATTTCTAACTTAGTATTATTGTGGTTTATGCAATAGTAATTTGAAGTATTTTTTGGTTTGCTTTATGGGCCTGGTCCATGTTCACTTTCTATAAATGGAGAAAAGGATGTATATGCTCAATTTGGTGGATATATTCTCTGTATAGAGCTAATTGAATGGGTCAATCTGTTAAAGCATAATTAATGTGCTTTTCAGATATTTTATTCCCTTCCTCACCTCTCCTTCCTCGCTTCCTTCTTCCCTCTTGTGTTCTGTGGGCCTCACGTGTTGTTTACTAAGGGAGGAATGTGAAAACCCTGCATAATAACGGGGACCTGACATGTGGAACTGCCAATGCCTGCTTTTTATACGCTGAGACTATGTTGATGAGATGCGTAAAAGTTTAGAATCGGTACCTTTTCTTAGTGAATTTCTCTCTTTGCCTTAGTGTTTATTTTGTTTGAAATGAACATTTCTCTACTAGCTTTCTTTTGTGTTTGCTTCATAATCATTTGCCATCTTTTTCTTTCAACCTGCCTGGGTCCATATCTCTTGGAGGACAGAACTTTTTTTTCTCCCAGTTTAACCATCTGTGTCTTTTAACCAGATAGCAAATTTGCATTTCCTTTGATCATGATAAGTAATATATTTGACCTTATTTCTGACACTTTGTTTCATCCTTTTCCTGCATTTTTCTTTTTAACACTTCCTTACTTCCTTTTAGATTTTTTTTTTTATTCCAGGTTTTTCCCTCTGCTATTTTGGAAGTTGAGTTCTTATGTCTGTACCTTATTGGTTATTTTAAATATTTTAACATGCCTTCTTAACCTAACAATGGCTAATTAATCAGTGTTCTGAAAATTCTCGGGCCTACAATAGTTTAACTCTGGTTATCCGACTCCCAGTGTATATGCTCTTGTACAGTATTTTTGTTCTTTCTTTTCTAAACCCTGCAACTGAGATGCTGCCATTATTTTTGCAGTCAGTACCTGTATACGTTTAACCGTGTATTGGCCAGTGTGTTTGTTCACTATTCCATGTTGCTTCTAAGACCTGCCACGTAGGATCATTTTTATTCTTCCTGCAGTACATCCTGTAGAATTTCCTTTACCAAAGTAGTCAATTCTCAGGGGTTTTTTTTTCCTTTAAAAATATTATTCCAACTTTGTTCTTGAAAAGTAGTTGCACCATGCGTGCCGTTCCAGGTTGTCAGTCATTTCCTCTCACTGCAGTGGCCTTGTTCTGCTGTGTTCTGACTTCGGTCATTGCTGTCGGGCTGGGCAGTCAACCACCTCTGGCTGTGGTTCCTTGGTTAGGTAATCTGGCATTTCCCTCTGCCCGATTTTAAGATTGTTTGCCTTTGGTTTTCTGTAGTTTCACTAAGAGATGGCTAGATTTAGACTCTTTTTTCTATCCTGCTCGCGATTCACCAGCCCTTCCTACAGTAGGATTGTTATGCCATTCTTGGAAATGCCCAGCCACTGTCTTTCCAGTTATTTCCTATCCCTGGGCTCTGTTACCTTCTGGAACTTTAGAAGACTGCTAGCAGTCTGAGCTCTTAGACTCTGCCATCTCTGTTTCTTGCTGTGCTACATTTCAGATACTTTGGGGGTGAGGGGCTTCATCTTTCAGCTCCCTAATTTTTTATTCAGCTGTGTCTTAATCTGCTGTTTATCCTAATCATTACATTTTCTTGTTAATTATTGTTTTTAATTTTTAAAAGTTCTAATCATTTGTTTTTCAGATTTGTTTTCTTTTGTATTCTTCCTCTAAAAATGTCTTCCTGATGTTTTAAAGTGCTTATCTTTATAAAGACCCATTAACCATAGTAACTTCACAGTCTGTGTTTGATCACTTCAGTAGCAGAAGTCTCCTGGGTCCGCCCCAGCCATGCCTGCTGGCTCTGGGCCGGCTCACTCCCTCAGGCTTTGGTGATTTTTCAGGGTAACATATCAGCGGCGCCTTCCAAGCCCCAGAGTCAGCGAGCGCCTCCCTGTGATCTAGAAGCACCTTTGCTTTCGCCTGCTTGCAGAGGGCAGCACTGACTTGGGGCCACTGGGGTTACTCTGTTTGAAGTGTTTGGGACAAAACAGGTGGCACAAATTAGGGAGGCCTGGCTTTTGGTGGCAAAAACTCAGAGATTTGGAGATGATTTTTTTCCCCCTGTCTAGATGCAAAGCCCCAGCTTTAGAAGAGGGCCTGCTGCTGGACCCCCCACCATATTCCCTTAGCATCTACAGAAGCGTGGCATCCCTGGGCCTCTGACTCCTTTTTTGGGAAGCTGTCCCCCGTCCCCTTCCTCCCCGCCCACTTCCCCCTTCTGCATTTTTGTCCTCACAACTTCCACACTTCTGAGCAAGTCAGTGATACTGAATCTGAAATGATTCTGAGGATATTTTCTCCAACATTTTTAGATGTTTTCAGCAAGCTGGTGAGGGTATGTAATTACCGTCCTGCAGGAAAGCAGAGTCATGATATTTTCTTTCTCTGTGTTGTTTTAGAATCCTGAAAATAGCTCCCCTAAAATTGCTTATGACAATTTTGGAATTTTCCAGAGGTCAGAATGTTGATTCTTAGTTCATTGTTAATTGTTAATAACAGATTAGATAGATGCACATGGAGTTACTATTTTTATAAGTTAAAAAAAAAACCAAAACTGTTGAATACTGACAGATTGATATGGTTCAATCTAATACTGTCTGTACAAGGTTTAGTCTAATACTATCTGCTTTCCCTGGAGATAGTTCATCCTTCCTTACACTTACGGTACTGATGGGAGTTCTTCCCTTCCTTTCCTGTCTCCTGTCCCCGGACAGATCGCCCTCTACATCTGGGACAGAGGTGACGGGCCTCCCCTCACTCCAGTGCCGGAGTTCTGTACAGACAGTGTAGACGCCCACTGTGCCACCATGTTCCATTCTTTTCTACCACTTTGTGTAAGTAACAGAAAAACTGCCTTGCACATCAAAGGGAAATGTCCATGCTGAGCATAATATTGTCCTGAAACTTTACATATTGAAAAAATATCAACATTTGCTCTGTGCCAGGTAAGAACCATGTATCATGTTTCTGCTAATAACAACCCTGCAAGGCAAGCACTGGTACCCTAACATGGGAAGAGAGAGGCTACAGGGCCAGGGGGGAGGGCAGCGAGGTCGCGGCCAGCAGGGGCTCCGCAGGGCCCCTGTGCTGTGCAGGCGCCACCGCGCTCAGCGCCAGTGTGCCAGAGGCATTTCTCCTGATGATGCAGCATGTGTCTGCTGGAATATCTGTTCCACTTCCCAGAAGGGCAACTTCAGACATTTCTCTTATACCTTAATCCTTCTTCTCATGCCCACCCCTTTACCCTCTCAGCTGTGCCCTTGCTTTGATGTTACCTGAGGTGGCCAGAACTTTGAGAGTGAACCTGCTTGTTGTGGCAGCCCCTTGGTCCTGTCCCCGGGTTGAGGCTGAGGTCCCCTGAACTCACTAGGTTAACAATCCTTCCTCATAAGGGAAAATATATTCACCACCCTGAAAATGTTGTTTTTCTCGAGTCAGTCCCCCAGAAGTCTGTGTGTTGAATTTTCAAAGATGAATACCATCGCCCCCACCTCCCCCCCACCACTGTAGCACTGGGAGAGAATCTGTAAGGTGTGCTCAGTTCCAGAGGGGGAAAATGTCTTCCTACACATTGTGCTTGCTTGGCCTGTAATGCTTTTCTAGGGAGTCTGGAGGGGTCAACCTCCTGGTGCCTCGAGTGACATGACAAAGCTGTGGCTAGATGTCACTGTGAACCAGCCCCAAAAGATGTAGGAGTCATGACTGAGTATTATTAAAGGCCTAGGGCAGGTGATAAAGGGGCCCAAACACCCCCTGAAGCATGGCCGGGGATGCAGGTCGTTCCCCGGTTCGCTGTGTGTGCCCGCTTCTATCTGAGTGACCAGTTGGTTGGAGTCAGCTCAGGGCCTCAGACCCGCCACCCCCAGGTGTTTGGAGTAAGCCCACCTCTGACAGAACATCACTGTAACCTGGATGTGGGCAGACAAGAGATACCTTAAACATCAAAAAAAGACCAGGCCTACAAAAGGGAGGCGTCTCTTATTTTACCGTAAAACATCCCCCTGGTTCTTTCCTTTTGTCAAAATCTTCACTACCTGGAAAAAGGAAAGAGAAGGTACCTCACAGGTAGGGCACCTGTGCTTTGCTAAGTAAAGAGTGGCAGTGAAAGCAGCTTGCCTGGTGGTCATTATTCCCATTTTGTAAACGAGCAGACTGAAGTTCAGAGAGCTGAAGAAACGTGGCCCGATGCCGCAGTGCACACGTGCAGAGCTGGGCTTCCGTTTCAGATCTGGTTGTCCCCAGGGCTTCACTGTCAGCTGAGCTACAGTTCCACTTTCCCCTGAAACTTACTCTTGGGAACAGGTTTGATACCTCTGACACTGGTCACAAACTCCAGAGTGTGTTGAAATCGGATGTGGGTGTGAAATTAAGATATCGTGGACTCATATAATTCCATATTTTTTCTTGTGTTTAGGGAAAACCAGTGAAGAAGGAGGATATTTTTGTTGCAGTGAAAACATGCAAGAAGTTTCACGGTGATAGAAGTATGTTTTGCGTTACTCATTTTTACCAAACTTTGAAAAGCCAAGCTGCCTTTAACAACAAAGTACAAAACAGCTGTGCACTCAAGAAAGGGATGATGACACGTATACTGTTGAAGGGAAAGCAGTTATTTAATCAGTATTCCTCCTCTTACCACTTCAATCACCAAGATCAATCGGAAAGGACAGTTTTGTGTTGAAACATGAGCGCTCCCAGCCCATCTAAATGCTATTTAGAGCAGTGTTTTAAATTGGAAATAGAAAAGCTCAGCTGGGGCAATCTCGGAGACAGTATGTGAATAACAATTTTGCAAAACAATGTCCTATTATGTCCATGCTGTGTGAACTGTCTGAAGAATATTAGAGGGGATTTCAAGGTGACAGGGAGCCAAAAAAGAACTGCAAACAAAGACTGTTCCTTCTTTTTACATTTACTTAAAAGGCACACATGGGAACTTTAAAAAAAAGTTATGTATTTGCTTCTGAGTAGATGTATTAGAGAAAAAGAAAAAAAGATGCCTTATAAGCAGTGGTCCCTTCTAAAGGAAATCCTGGCATGCACATGGATGTTGTTTTTATTCAAGTTTTTGGTGTCATTACAAAATTCTACTGTGGTGATAGTGTTTAAATAAAAGCCATCCTAAATAATGGTAGACATAATTTCTCTTTTTTCACTGTATTTCAAGCAACACTTTTCTGAGATTGAAAATTAGACAGTCTTTTACATTTTCTAAGTTTAGCACATATTTTAATTTTTTCCATGAAAAGACTGTCAATTTCACCAAGTGTGTGATATTTATATAGGAGAGATTTCTAAACCTGCTGTCATTTTGGAGCTCTGAAGGAAGTTGATTTATATAATTTATATGATGAGGTGATACTTACAAATTATTTTAAAGGGGAATGTATTTTCCAAAACAACAAAAAAAATTGTTTGGCATTATAATCTAAGATTAATGTCTAAAGTCTAAGATAAATTGACATCAATTAAAATCTGGTTGTCATCAACAGTATCTTAAAAGTACACGACCTATAAACTTCATGCTTACCTAATAGCCACATTAAGTGCCGAGTCCTATTATATTAGGAAATAAAGATATGCACTCATTGTGCAAGGAGTCCTAAAATACTAATTATCAGTATAGCATTAAAAGTAATTTTCATTTATCACAAATTACTCTAGATTTAATATCCTTTTGCTTTTTTCATAATCTGGAAGGGCTTTGTGGGTTGATTTTTTTTATAAGTATCTTTCACAAAAGATTTTCAGGGGGAATGAACTAGGCTGGGCTTTTTGTTTTGCTTTTTACAGCAAAGCAGAAGTGTTCAGATTTGATCTTGAAGCTACACTTGGAGCAGTGATTGCATTTATATTAATGTTAATAATGGTGGTGGAGGTGGGTGGTATTTTCTCTTTTGAAACACATTGTTCAAGTGACAGTAGAGCAGTAAAATTAGGGACAATCCCTGTTGTATTTTTAATATTCTGTAGACATGGAGAAAAGTTTGCTAATTTTAATTTAGTAATTTTGAGTTATCTAGTTTTCTTATTTGCATAAGACTGAGATCATCTGTTCAGAAGCCCAGCAAATGATTTTTATATTTGAATTTAAATTATATTTTGAAGTCACAGGTCTTCAAAACTTAGTCTTAAAAGCCTGTTGGGGGCATTAAAACCAACCCCTCCCAAAGCCAGATGCACTGGTTTGCTGCTCTTAATTTGCATCTGGGGTCACTGAAGTCTAAGACCTCACCGCAAGGATACTGTGAGGCTCTCACAGTTGGTGTCTGGGTAAGCCGTCTTTAAACTTGGGCATGTTTGTTTGGAAGGAGTCTAAGGCAGCAACTCTCCAGGACTCTGGTGTCCATTCTGCTTGATGGATGCCGCCTGCGGGGCCAGTGTGCTCTCCTCTCCTCTTGGAAGTCCAGTCGAGCCACCACTTGGCCTCCAGGACCTATCCAGTAACCGTATTGGCTACAGCGACAATACCACACTGACTGCTTCTAACTACTGATCTGTTTTTTACATTTTCTGGGGTGTTTTCACATTCATTCTGTCATCTCATTGCATGTTGACGATTCCTTGTGATGTGATAGTTAATGTCATCACTTGATATTGTAGAGAAAACTGAGTATGGGATGAGACGCACAGGCCCACGTTCTTGTGGAGCTGGGACTTGGTTTCTCTGGCTCCGTCCCACGTTCGTTCTGCCACAGCGCAGCGGTGCTGTGCTCTCCTTGGATGTGTCGCAAACCTAACCGTTGACAAATAGTATTTGCTATTCATGCTGATGCTCTGCTGTGCTCAAGGTCAGTTTGGACTTGGGCGGAAGCTGTGGAAATAAGCTTTTTATTTTCGGTAGCAATGGGGATAGCCAGCAATTAAAATCACCACATGATCTAAAGTATACATCGAGGTGGGAATTTAGACTGCCAGCCCTGCCCAAGCATATTATTGCCATATACTCAAGCAGAATACATGGACTAGAGCGGTTTTTTTTTCCTGTCCTTGTGCACTCTGTGGTAGAAGCAGTTGAAATCTCAAAGGCTAAATAACAATGAAGGGAAAAAAATATAGATAAGACTGTACTCATCTCTGAAACACAGAGAGTCAGTCGCGCTGTCTGTGACTCACCTGCCGGCAGGTTCTCACCTGTGGTGCACCGCCCCAGGTGCTGAGCAGAGGGAGACACTGGCAGAGGCCCCACTTCTGGCTCCTTCCAATGTGGCCAACTCCAGGGTGAGGGTGAGGGTGAGGGCGGGAACATTCTGTTCCAGGCTCTAGTCAAGGCAAGGGAAGATATATGTTCAACTCAGTTTTATACCCTCATGGAAGAACTGGTAATAAAGTCCCCAAATTAAAAAAAAAAAACACAGTTATTTTGCATCTTGTACTTTTTTGGTCTAACAGTGAAACAAGCGTTTATATAACCACTTGTGTCTGGATTCTGATTTAAATGAAATAAAGCCTTCTTTGGACACAGCAAAAATACATTCTATCTTTTGGTTTGAGAAAGAAATACACATTGGCAACACTGAAATAGCCGCACTCTCTGAGATGCACGCAGCTAGGACAGTTTTAAAGAAGCTTTAAAAGTATCATGAAGTGATGAATTGGGCATAGCATGTAAAATGATACCTAAGCAAGGCAAAGGTCTCTGGAGTTTTAACATTCAGCTTGGTCACTTCCTGTCAGGTTATGTTTTTCATTGCGTGACGTGAACTGTCAGAAAACGTTAAGAATGCCCTTTGCATCATTTCGCCACGCGTCCCTGTGCGCGTGCCACGTGTTTCATGGCAGCCACTGTTCCTGCTCATCAAGTCGTGGGTTGTTAGCAGTTTCCCTCCAGTGAAAGAGGTTAAATTGCTATTTGCTCAGCCCTTAGGCCCTTTTCACAGTTTCCTGAGCTCCTAAAAATACATTATTCTTTTCAGATTTGAAAAAGAAAAAAAATCCTGTTTTATATTTTTACTTCAGTGATCTTTCCTAGAAGCAGCAAATCTGAACAAACTTATTAAAAGGAGTGTGTAGTCGCTGTGTTCCTTCTGGTTAGAGAGGCTCACAGGCACCATGGTCTGATCCGCTTACCTGAAATGTGGAGGCTTGGATTAAGATGCAGCCAGATAGAAGGCTGCACCCTGGGTTCAGTGAAGTGAGTAGATCAGCCCTTAAGGGAGGGCGGGACGCTGGCTCCGCTGGGTTCGGTTACCCCTTGGCCGATGAACAGCTGTAGGTGCCCCAGATTGCCATATGGGTTTTAGATCAGCTGAGTGGGATGTTGTTAGTCTTAAGGACACCCTGCCTTTGCAATCAGGAGTCACAGTGCACCCTTTGGGGTGTGTCTCTAACCCTCTCCTCAGAAGAGAAGAGCAACCAGGGTTTTATTTTGTGCGCACTGACTTGCATACTGAGACAGAAAGCCCATTTGCCAATGGAAAATAGCAGATTCCTCAAAATCCAAAGAGTCATTCACATTTCATTGTGTGGTGGTATCTTGCCAAAGGGTTTCAGCCTTGAGCAAGTTCACTATGGATTCAATGTGACCAAAAAAAGACAGTAGAACGTTCTTGGGGTGAAAGGGTTTATACCTAACTTTATTCCCAGGGTGGCAGGTCAGTCACTAGAATCCCATCCACTCAGAGCAAGTCTGCACACAGCAAGCTGGTTTCTGCCTCTGGGCCTCTCTGCCCGCACAGCCATCCTCTGGGCCTCTGTCCTCAGTGCTGCCACCACTCCAGCCTCTGCTCTCCTCCCCTGCAGCCCTGCAGCCATGCCACCATGTTGCCCAGAGACCTGGGCAGGGCTCTCTGTACAGAGTCAGTAACCACGCATTGCCCACACGGGTGCAGTGCGCTAGCCAACCAGGGCCAGGTGGGAATCGTAGCCACAGAGACCTTCATTTTATCCACAGGCAGTTTTTGTGCAGTGTTCAAGCAGTAAGTTCACTTTCATTTGTAATCAAAGTTTTGCAGTAAATTCACTTGGTGTAAAAAGTGTGTGTTCTGTGTCTCCCAGTGAGACACACCTCCTCCTGCTTCGCGTCTGTGAAGCCATGTGGAAGATTTTTGCCATCTGTGCAGAGGGGCTTTTTTATAGTCTGGTTTTTATTTTGCTCCAATTTTAAGTTATCTTGTGGCAAACCCTGAAAGAGGCATTCGCTATTGTTTTATTCTGCGGTAGAAAGTATGCTTCTCTTTACTGAAAATGAGATAACAGATCATGTAGCTATTGAAATATTTTCTCAAAATTTAGTATCTTTAGGAATACAGTGCCTCCGTAAAATATTCTACAAATAATACAGTGAACTCAATTTAGAATTCAAACAATACCAATAAAATAGAACAATATTTTAAAAGTTTTAAGTCATTTAGAACCAGCCTGGTTGAAAATAAAGCCTTCACCAGCTGTTACAATAGACTTAGCCTGAGTTTTACAGCCTTTCCAGCTGATAGATACGACAAATGAGGGACAGGTGATACAAGCTGCTGAATGCTTTCAGTGTTATAAATCCTGACACCTATATATGAAAATGGTTGGTCTATTTTTAGATGATTGGTGATGAGTGATGCCAGCCTTGTACCAAAGGACAAACTGACATCATGAATAGAACCTCCTTTTAAACTCGTTCCAGATATATCCCCAAGCCTTTCATTGCACTTCCTACAAAACTCAGTCCTCATTTGGCTATTTATTGAGCACCTACTCTGTCCCAGGCACTGTGCCTGGTGTTGTTTCAGAAGAAAACTGAGAGCAAGTAGTTAGGTATAACTCACGCATGATTGTGATTTTAATTTCATTCAAATGAGCTATGGAGAAGAGCCCATCCACGCTGTTTAGCAGAGCTGCCAGAGTAAACTGGGGCTGCAGGCTGCAGGCTGAGAAGGGAAAAGCCGAGTTCGCACGGCTTGTAGCACCCAGTGCTGGGGCCTGAAGGAGACTGCTGACCTTTCCTCACAGCTTCTCCAGCCTTCCTCAGTGGAGGACCTTGCACCCAAGGGTGCGGACATTTAGTGGCTGCATGCTGCAGGGAGCCCTTCCCGGGGTGCGTCTTCCTGCTCATTCTATGCAAAGCAATCCGCCCCTGCAGTGCCCAGGTCAGTTTTTGTTGCACTGCAGTTCGGATGCAAGGACAGTGAGGATTTCTCTTTTTCTTTTTTTCTTCCCCAGCTGCCTTATCTATCATTTACAGCATCTTCGTCTGTTTTGATATGGAGAAATCTTTATGTCTGTCTTTTTATGATTACAGAAAAACTATATTTTAATGCATAAAAATAATACTGAGTGGGTTAAAATAGCTAATTGGGAGATTATAATAGCAAATGTCCAGAACTCATATGTCTTTCTCTTTCTTAACACTGGTAGATAATGGACTATAAAAATGGTGTACTTTTGTATTTTATATGCAAGGGCTGTCTGAGTTTTTTGTTGACCTGCATAGGTAAACACTTAAATATGGCACTGCATTGGCAGTTTTTGCATATAATTTGTATTTATTTGGTCTCAGAAAAAAGAAAAGATAAATGATCTGATAAAGTCTCAAAATATTGACCTGAAGATTTCATTCATCAGAGTTGAGATTCTTAAATGAGCAGGGTGTAAAATCTAGATAGGAAGACCTCTCCTATTAAAATGACAGGAACCTTCTTACCCTTAAAATTGACAATTGTACAGACAGTAACTTTAAAAAGAGTCTAAGAGAAAACAATTACTTGGGTAGTTGGTTAGGTACATTACTGTCAGTGTCAGGTAGAATTCCAGGAAAGTTTTCTGTTGTTCATGTTTATTAAAACAATTCATTTCTTAATGATAGGGTTTTAAAGCCTGCATTGGTTCTCAATTTTATTTCTTCCACATTTTTAAAAAGGGCAACATGATCATTATCAGCCATCATATGAAGTGATTCCCAATAGTAGGGCCATGCCCTTTATAGGGTTGGGCAGTTTTGTTAGAATCTTCAGTTGGGGATGTGTGTAATCTGGAAAGATACCCCTTCTCCCCCTGCTACTGCCCCAACTCATTGTAATAAAGAAAACTTTGTATCTCAGCCAGAATCACACAGAATATTCCAATCCTTAGTAGAAATTATATTCCCTACCCCCCCAAAAAACCATTTGTGAATTTTAAGTGAGATAGCCTATTAGGAAAAGAGAAAAATTAGTTAAAATTGATTTAAACACGACAGTCTAATCACCACAAAATTTATCAGTATATGGAAGTAAGTGTATTCATCATTAGAATGACAAGAGCTTTGCTCAAAGGATACTGAAATGCCTCAAGAAGAGCGTTTTTTTCATGTGCTGCCATCAACAAGCAGCCTTGGCATTTCTCAGGGTACAGAAGCCACCTCTGAGTCTTGGAACACCTGAAGAACGGGTAGTGGCTCTCCTGCCTTGCAGCTGATCAGGCTGCCCTCTGGAGAGCCCAGGCGTCCCTACGTAACCGCCAGTGACGGCTGTCTCTCTCTTATTTTTTCAGTACCCATCGTAAAGCAGACGTGGGCAGGGCAGGCACGTCTCATTGAATTCTACAGTGATCATGCAGAAAGTTCCATCCCTACAGTGGATCTGGGGATTCCTAATACAGACAGAGGTGAGTCCTTAATTCTTACCATTCCTCTTATTCTGAATGTCCATTCTGTAAATATAGCAGATTAGGATGAAAGTGAAATAATAAGTACTATAATTTTTGCCTTATGGAAGTCTTTCCCTCCTTCCCTCCCAACATCTTTACTCATGGATATGGACCAATTCTTTCTGATTAAGAACTGTCTTAGCACTCTATCTTTAGTGTGTACTTAGAACGCGCCACAGGATCTGGTATATTAGAAACTCAATAGCAAGTGTTTATAAAATGAATGAAGATATAGAATTCTACTTTTGCCCCACTGTTTCTCCATGGTTGTGATGCTCAGAGTTGTAACAGTTCCTTCAGCAGAAGTGTATCTAAGGAAAGATACCAGGGCTTCTGTAATTTCTGTGAGGCTTACACCTTTCTTGTTTGGAGTGAAGACACTAGTTTTATCTGCCTCACGTTATCTCTGTGACCTTGTGTGACTCCTCTCCTCTCTCTAGGTCCCCGTTTTCCTCACATGAAATAAATGACTTAGACTTGGATTCTAAAGTTCCCGCTGGTTCACTCTGTCTATGAAAATTAGAAAAGGCTAACTTTTAAAGTTTTTCAAATTATTAAGGTGCATGTCAGCATTTAAGCTTTTACCTTTAAAACTTCACAACCAAAAAAAAACAACTTTAAAATGAATCAATATACATTTTAAAGAAAAGAATGCATTGTAAGTTTTCTTCTCAAATTTCCTAGGTCATTGTGGAAAGACATTTGCCATTTTGGAAAGATTTCTGAATCACAGCCATGACAAAATAGCGTGGTTAGTCATTGTGGATGATGATACATTAATAAGGTAAGAGGTCACTCTCATCTTCAGGTGGCTTGAAACAGACAATTATTTAAGTAGACTTAAATATATTTGTCTTCAGAAACTATGATGGGCACTCTGCTCTGGCCAATGTGGAGTAAAAGGGACTAGATTTACCCTCACATCTGAAACAACCCCAAAAAAGAACAAAATAGATGAAATGAGGGTCTTTAAGGCACTAGCCAGTAGGCAACAAGACAGTAATCCATTAATGACTGACGCAGCTGCCCTCAGAGGGTGTCCAAGTCACTGCTCAGGGCAGGGAGCCCGGGTGGAAACTTCCCATCTCCTTGGGTTGAAGAGCCGAAGCGGAGAGTCCGGAGAGACTGAGGCCACTAAAGTTCGTAGGACAGACCACTGGAGAGGAGACAGCTGCTCGGAGAGAGCACTGGAGACCCGTGCAGACCCCTGCAAGTATTCAGTGGAGTACTGATGGGTGTGTGTGTGTGTGAGGAGACTCCTGGAGGCTGGGGGAAGACCCAGCCTGGACGGTTAGCGGGAATGGTGCCCAGCATTCACACAGGTCAGAGTGCAGTTCCTGTTCCCACCGGCCAGACTGGAAAACCCTCGATTCTCAAGGTATATCGGGTAGAGTAGATAGACGCACCTTGCTTTAATAGTGGGAAATGGCTAACCCGGGACCAAGAACTGCTCCAGTCCTGCCTGGACCCACAAAGAGCAACTGTTCCCAAGCATCTACCTGCATCCAGGAACAGAGCTCAAGATGTACTGACACACCAGAGCATCCAGCATTCAACAACATAGGATTCAGTGTCTGGCACCTGATCAGAAGTTACCAGGCGTGCAAAGCAGCAGAATTCACCCATAATGAGGAGAAGAATCAATAGATTGACATTGTCCCAGAAATAAGGCAGTGTGAGAATTAGCAATTATTAAACTAATAGTTCTTATAACTCTTCCATATGCTCAATAAAAGTACACGGAGGGTATAAGAATGAAACTGAACTTCTAAAGATGAAAACCACATTGTCTGAGGTAGAAATTCCACTGGGTGAGAATATCAGCAAATTAGATACTACAGAAGAAAGGATCAGGGTACTTCAGAACCTTGCAACAGCAGTGAAACACAAAGATAAAAAATAATTTTAACAAATGAACAAAGCATCACCGAGCTGGGGGAAATTTTCAGCAGCCTTGTCCATGTATAATGGGAACCTTCTGAAGAGAAGGGGAACATGAGAAATACTTAAGGACATATTTTCCAAATGTAATGGCAACTGTAAGTTCACAGATCCCGGAAGCCTGGTGAATCTGCAGCACACCTTGCAGGTTACAACCACCCCCAAGAATGATGCCTTTTCAACATCTCGTGTAGCATTTACTGCATCTAAAAGAAACTGCAATCTTGCGCTATCGGTGTTCACTAGTTACTCCACCTGAAGGCTTTTCTAAATGTTCATTTTTAAAAATATTTATTTGCAGTAATATCTAACTGCTCAATGATGTCTTAAATGTGTTTTTCAGCTTAAGCCTTGTCACCTCTTCAAAACTGTGACATCATCTTTGATCACAGTGAACTCTAACTTTTCTTAATTCATGAGGCCAAATATTTGTAAGATTCAGAGTCAGTCTCTCCTTTCCGTGTAAAGCATGAACAGCAATAGCAGTTTTTCTGTTACCATTGAAACTTGGAGCTTTGAGTCCAAGTGAAACACAATCAACAAGAATTTGGGGATATGGAAAAAATACCTTGACACGCACGAGAAGACCTCAGACCGGAGTGGCCTTCCTTGAGGGAAACAAGTGTAGTGTATCAGAACTGAAGCTTTTCTAGAAAGCCTCACTTCCCAAATTCCCTTCCCCATCTGCCAGCCACGTGCTTGATATGAACCTCATTTTTTTCTTCTATAGTTCCTTTCTTGGCCATTGAACATTTAAAAAAACACAAAGTCTGTCTGAACAGATGTGATGATTAATTCACACTCACTGGAAAACAGGACTGGTTGGAGTGAGCTATGTATGGCCGCCCTTCCTCCACTGACGGGCCCCCTACCCACCCGAAGGGCAGCCGTGTTCTGGCAGGGGCTCCTTAAAACTAGGGGCTAAGCCCCTTGCTTCTCAATTTCTCTCATTTGCGGTAGTAGACAGTGTTCATCACTTCATTTTTTTTTCAAAAAAGGCGTGTCTTCTCTAGATCACTTAAACTTCATCTCTAAATGATTTCAGCATATACATTATGTAATATAACCAGTGGGATGTGAGAACCAGAAGATATTTACTCTGAAAACACACTTGTATTTAACAATGACCGTTTCTGTCCCTAATCTTAGCATCTCCAGGCTCCGGCACCTGCTTAGCTGTTACAACTCCAGTGAACCTGTGTTTCTGGGGGAGCGCTATGGCTATGGCCTGGGCACCGGCGGCTACAGCTACGTCACGGGAGGAGGAGGGTAACTATGAGCATGGCTTTCTGCAGACACTCTCAATGCTAACTTCCATTGCACAATGTGGAGGTGGGTCTGTGGCTCTGGGGGTCTGCACTGACACCTGTGTGCTCTGGAAGTGGTAGCTGTTACAGTAATAAAAATGAACATCCAATTTACTAAATATGACAAGAACCCACAGTAAAGAAAGTTTGCCCCTTGAGGAGGCAATATATAAATGTATGCTGAGGAACTTGGTAGAAATACCCTAAAATGATTGCTTCTAGGTAGCTGGTGAGTTTGAATGAATGAAAAAAATTTGGATATAGATTTTATTTTCAGAAAATAAGTCAGACTTGTAAATTACTGAGTGCTTATACATCACCTTTGAGAAAGGAGTAGTGTAGAAGTTTAGACTTAAGCAGTTCAGTGGTATTTGTGCAGGGTTTACAGGTTTTAAATAAGTTAATGTTTTAAAATGAAGCATATGCCTAGTCTATTATAGGGGAAGATTTTAATTTGGTTTATTTGGGTAAGTTAAGTGAGCAGTGAGTCTATTCTATCATTTCTATAGTTTTTGCAGTTGGGATATTTAGGAAGAATTTTAACTTATCAATTCAGTCATTTAAATTCACTCAGTCAGTGTTTGCTGGGTATCTACTGTAGGCTGAAGAACATTCTAGGCACTGGATTATAGACTTCTGAAGAGCTAGGACTTTATGTTCTTTGCAATCTCCTAGATGCAAACAGTTCTAACTGCAGAACCTCAAGAATCATATCCCAGGTGTTGTGGTTTGGTGTAGCCGACTCAGTGGTGACTATTAATGGTCGTGTGCGTGGCCCTTTATGGCCGTAACCACTCCTGGGCAGGAGTACTGATCTTTTTTGAGCCGTGTCCTGTGTCTGCCTGGGGTCACTAGTAGCAGGAGATGGAGGCCCAGGTAGGCCTTTGAAAAGATAAAGGCTAAGGTCAAGGAGTACTGACCTCATCGTTAAAAAAAAGGTCCAAGTTATTTGCGGCTTTATGGTAATGCATTCAGTTTCTGGGTGAGGTTTTGAGGTCAATTAGGTCATGGCACCCGTTTAACCAGAACTTTCCATTTTGAAAGGGGACCTGTTATTTGTGTATGAGTTTATATATTTTGTAGCACATGTTATTATGCTTTTAACATGGAAGTGACTTTGTGTGCTTTCTGCAAGAAAACTGTTTGTTGTTAGCTGTTATTTCTGTGACTGGCACTTGAGGCCTTCTGAAACCAGAAGGCTTTTCCTGGCCTACCAGCATTTCCTTTCACTGCTGCAGTTGGAATGAATTCACTTGACACACCGGTGTGCCCAGGCTGTGGGCTAGCACTGGGAATGCAGTGGGGGCTCAGGGCTACTGCTGGAGTGGCAAACACACTGCCCAGGGGTCACTGCTCTGCCTTCCCGGGCCTGGGGCAGGCCTTGCTCACCCACCAACGTGTTCAGCCTCTTACGTGTTCAGCCTCCCCCTTGCTGCTGTGTATTTCCTACCAGCTCCAGCCTTCCCATCTTAAAGCTTCTTCTGCCGTCACACCATCTCTCTTCTCCCCTTCAAAAGCTTAGGGATTCACAACTCTCACCGTCTCTGCCTCCCCACTCCCACCTTCATTGGTCCCTCTAACTAAACTACCTTGCTAAGGTCCCTGGTGAGCTCCATGTGGCCAAATGAAATAGATCAATTCCAATCTTTATCTTAAACTCTCAGCAGCCTTTGACAAAGTTGGCTGTTGATGTCTTGAAACACTCCTTTCTCTTACTTTCCGGAACATCATCCTTCCCTTGTTTATTCCTGTCTTTCTGATCATACCTCTCAGTGCCTTTCTTCTGTCCCTTACGTGGCTGTCTCCCAGGCATCTTTTCTCGTTTCCCTTGTCCTCTCACTCTGTGTTCTCATTGGGTGATATTCTCCACCCAGGGGGCTTTATGTTCAATGCACCCGAATCTGTCCCCAGCCTACAGCTTCTCCTGACCTCCTGATGCACGTGTCCACTTACCAAAGGGTATGGCCACTGGGATGAACCATAGGCACATCAAACTCAGCACCTCTCACACTGCCCTCTTCATTTCTGCCTAGCCCAGCGGTGGTGGTCTCCCAGGGTCCTCGTCTGGGAGACACCAGCACAGGCGAGCTCCTGCTCCAGAAACGTCTCAGCCAGCTCCCTCTCCCCCCACTGCCCTGCAATGGAGTCAGCTGCTCAGTCTCGTCAGTCGTATCTCCTAAGTGTCTCTTCTGTGGGTGCCCCTCCTGGTCTCCACCTCCACCATCCGAGTCTCCGCCACACCGTCTCCCGCACAGTGGGCTCCCGCCACAGCCTCCTGGTGTCCCCGCTTCTCTCTTCCTTCACTCCCTGACATCAGTCACACTGGTGTGTGTGTGTGTAAAACAGAAACAGACATTTCACAGACCGTACTTACTCTCTCCATGTGATGCACTGTGCTATTTCTGTTTTATTCTATCCGTTTCTGAAAGCACATCTGATCCTGCTACTCTCCAGCCGGTCGTCACTGGCCTCCCTACATTGTCTCTCCCCTAGAGCGTGGCTCTTTCCCACTCCTGGCCTGGAGACAAGGAGCTAAGTGTTCAGACTTCAACAAGAACCAGATCCTCTGGGACCGGGCCTCTGGTTTGCCTCATCCCAGCCTCCCCTGCTGCCTTGGGCTGCAATCCCAGCAGGTCGTCTGCCCTCCCGACCCCAGGCCCAGCTTGTCCCTGTGAAGGATTCCTCTCTTGGGAAGTGAGCTCATCTCAGCATCGTCCATTGCGTCAATAGGTCTATAGGCAAATGTGGTCTTTAGTTTGGGGGGGTTTCTCTGCCTTGCCACGAGAGTGGGTGTCCTCTGCAGCCTTTTATAAGCTCCCATTGCCTTTAGGATGACGTCCACGTTCCTCAGCAAGGCTTCCAAGGTGCTCATGATCTTGGCACATTATGCTTTACCTTTTGGGCCTCATTCCCTGGCACCTTCGTCTTAAACAATTCTAGCTGAATGCACTGCGTTTCCTCAGAGGCGCTATTTTCTCTCTCCTCTCCTAAGATACTGCATCTGCTGGCCTCTGCGCCGCGCCATTCCGCTCAGCCTCCTGCCGCTGTCCGCTGGCTCATCCTCATTGTTTTGGACGCCATATAGCTGTGATGTATTCATTCCAAGGAGCCTGCAGCCTACGCTAGCCTCTCAAGTCTGGGTCTGATGCCTTTCTAATGTACCTTCACAGCATGTTATGCAAACCATTATCATTTAATTGCCTGTTTAGTTTTCTGTTTTGCACCTAAATTATGAGTTATTTGAAGGCATCACCTGTGTCTCATGACACGTTGTGGCTGCACTTCCTAGGATAGAGACTCATTTTTCACAAGGTGCAGTGAATAAATGAATAAACAATGAGTAAACACTGGGCACTGATCTTTCTAGAACTAATGACCAGTGTAGTAGTCTGTTTTAATAGCACTTTTACAAAGATGCGGAAACACACACACTGAGGTTGGCTCCTATCGGCCTTTGACAAAAGCTGCAGACGTCCTGTTGGCCAGTCTCTCTGGTACGACAGGAGACTGTTCTGATGACCCAGCTGAAGAACCAACATGTTTTTTTAAACAAGTCAGGATTAGTTAATGGCTTATAGAAACAACTAATGGGTCAAAACCATTATTTTAAAATAAGGAAATATAGAACAGAATAAAGTAGAAATATAGTGGATCACAAGTAGTAAGGGCAAGTACTGCTTTGTAAATTTTTAAAAAAAGTTACCAGGTAATAATTTATTTTACTTATTTTAATTTTGTTATTGTGCTACCATTGATGTACAATATTACATCAGTCCCTGATGTACAGCAGAGTGGATTGGCAGCTGTCTGCACCACTAAGCGCCCACCAAGGTATACAGACAGGACTGTTTTGTGAGACTGTTTCAGTCTTAGACACACACGTACTGTGCACATAAATAGCTGCAATAGGAAATGTTTCTTGTTTTCTCACATTTGCTTTAGAGTCAAGTAAGTCTTTAAAACCATTGCCTGAAACCGTCCCTCCCGTGCCCCGCTCCTCAGAGCTAAGCGGAGAGGGTGGCCTCCAGGGACTCACGTAGCTCTTCTGTGTCGTCTGGCCAAAGAGACCTGCGCACTGTTGGCATCCGGGTGTCTGTTGTTTACTTTGTTGCTTACTCCTCGACAGTTTGGGTGTTAGATGACAATTGGTTCCGTAACCATTTTCTTTTTTGCAAATATTTATTCACGTATGTTTGGGTGGGGTGTTGTGATCAGGTGTCATCGTTCTCGTGGGAGTCCTCTTGGACGGTGTTCCCCCGAGACAGCCGTGACCTCACAGCTGGAGGGCGGGCATGTCATCCTCACTTGCTTTGTCTCCCACATGTGCTCCCAGTGTGCACAGTGCCCTTGGGCAAGTCCCTGACTCTCCTGTCAGTGCTTCTTATTTAAAAAATTCGTATATAAAGGGGAATCACATTTTAGTCTTACAGCTTTTCAGAATCATTTTAATATTTAAAAGTTGGCAGACAGAGCAGACAGACCATGAAATGACTGGTGATTTTCCATTTTGGGGCGACTTCATTTTGAAGGAACTCATCAGGATACTAATAAACAGTGTTATGAAAGGCCTGTGTGTGCTTAGTTTATGTGAATAATTCATATAAGACTGTCCTGTGTGAATAGGCAAAAATAGAAAAAAAAATTACTAATAGAAATTTCATGCTTACATGTTATCTTCCTGTAAAATTAATTTTTTAGAGAGTGGCCAAAGTAAAAGGCCTTCCTTTTCTTTCTCATCCTACTAGATGCTGGCAAAAGAAAAAAAGAGTATTTTTATTTAAATTGGGATGAGCAAGATCACGGCTCTGATGGGAATATAGTTACATACTTAGGAAATTTTCCCTGACGTGCCTCAGGTGGACACTGGAAGGGAAATGTCCATTTACAGGTGGTGCGTGTCCCCTCACAGAGGCCCATACTGGGGCGTCTGTTGGATAAGTAGGCGTTTGGCTCGGCCTGTAGGTGTGAGGCCCAGCGTCACAGGTGGACACTAGACTTCCTAAGAGGCAGATTCTGGTGAGTTTTCAAACTTGCAGTTTTCTTTTCTGTATAGTTCACAAGAACTTTTTTTGCTCATCTTGTACAATGTACATCCTCATACAGCTTCTAGTTCATCTGCTTTCTGCCATCCTAGCAGGGCAGGGACAGTGCCTTCCATGCTGCTGTGTTGCCAGCGTGAGGTCACTAGTGTTAGTAAATACATTGACCAGAGCCCCCTGGGTGTGGCATCAGCGTCTGTGCACCAGGGACTGTGCTCAAGCTCTTTGTCCTCTGTCCCTTCCCTGACTTGACAGAGCCCTTCCTCTCCTGGGAAGAAGATTTTGCAAAGGCAGTTTCGTGCTCATTTGTCTGATGCATCCGACTTCTCCTGAGCATGTGTGAGGCCCTGTATTTGGCTATAGGAATATATGGATTCAGTTCATAGAGTTTTGCCTACAAGACGCTGTTCCTTATTGGGAATGAACTTGTGAATTGTATTAGTCCCTTTTGCCCCATTGCTACTGGATTATTCATGATATGAGAAGACCCTTACAACCCCACAATTGGAATGGAAACTAGAAACCAATCTATATTTTAAAAAGAAGGTAATTTCTTGCAGAACTTGGTATCAAAGTGGTGGCAAGGGCCCGAGGAAGCAACGGGAGCAGCTGGCCTCACTCGGAGCTCACTCACCACAGAGAGCTGCTCTGCCCCCGAGCTGCAGGAGGGAAGCAGGTGGTGGTCTCTGGAGCCCACTGCCATGGGTCGCCATGGGACAGCCACTGCCACCTGCCTCGGCCACGGAGACCGCCAGAGGCAGAGGCACCCAGCCTCCCTCAGTGCTGTGCCCTGTTGTCAGAAGGAAGCCAGGACTTGGCTGGCAAGGGCTCTGCGAGATACTGGTTTCAATTGTTCGAATCCCCTGCAGTGCTGAAGAGAGCACAGAAGGGCAGCTGTGGGTGTGAGTTCCACTAGGAACTCGCCAACATACCTACCCGGTCAAGTAGCATAGTAGCGTCGTAACAGTATTTGAGGCAAATCAATCTCTCTTTCTCCCTCTTTTTTTTGTTCTATTTCTCAAAACCACCTTAAGGAAGCTCCTACAAACTGGCACCACTTGGATAATGCTGGGGATTGGTACAGCCACTTGGACAATACTTTTTTTTTTTCAATTAGATTTGATGTCGTTGGCACCTCATCACCTGTATGGATGAGGTGCCCAGGATTTCTGAGACCATCTACCTGCCAGAAAGGTAGATTTTGTTACTAATCTCACTGAGTGTGTCAGAACTAAAGAACTCTTCTAATTTTCTGATGGCATATTAGAGAAAGAGTGCTGCATATATGAAGAAATACAATTGCCTATTTGATAGGTAAACATCTCTTCAAAGTGACTTTCCTTTCATAGAAAGCAGAAAGACAGTATTCCCCCAAAAGTAAGATTAAATATAAGACACTGATGTCCGGATCTTTTATCTTCCTCAGAAATGTGGCCTCTGAACTATACATTTCGTTATTCAGATGAACAGTTTCAAGGAGCTGCCCTTACCCTCTTCTCTCCTCTGGCTTCTAGAATGGTCTTCAGCAGAGAGGCAATCAGAAGACTTCTCGCCAGTCAGTGTCGCTGCTACAGCCACGATGCCCCGGATGACATGGTCCTGGGAATGTGCTTTAGTGGACTGGGCATCCCTGTGACACACAGCCCCCTCTTCCATCAGGTGAGCAAAATGGTCTTAGTCCTACCCCCAAGGGAGAGGGGCACTTTTTTATCACTTAGAATCCTGCTTCTTGCCCTTCATATATTTTTCTGTAAGCAATATTAAGAATTATGTGGACAGGCTTTGGGGCATCCTTAACAGACCTCTTAGTCCAGAGGGTTGATGCTGTACCACATGCAGCATGCTGGTAGGAGACAGAAACATCCAGAAAATGAAATGATGTCTGGCCAATTTCCTTGCATATAGGACCATGGAAAAGCTGGTTTTCTGTTTCCTTTCTGAGTTAAAAAACTGATGGTATTTAAAAATGGTTAGATGTGTAGATGCTATCTAGAAATTATACAGGACTGACCTAATATTGTCCTGTTAGCCATCAAGTGTATATAATTCTACACTGTCCTCAGTTTTTACACCGTCTGTGCGCTGTTTTTTTGGGCTTTTCCCCATTGGTTGCTACTACACTGAGTGGCTTCATTTTATTAAACTTCAACATAGTATGTCAATAAGCATATATTCTGGAGGTTATAGGAAGAAAGAGATGAGATGGTGCTTCAGGGAAGCCTGGTGCTCACGGCGGCACCATACTCCAGTTTGGAGTTGGAGAAGGGAATCCTTCTGCATTACTTTTTCGAGTTTTGAAGAATCAGGTCAGTTAATGTTCTGATATTGTAATAATAATAGCAGATATACTTGCCCTAAAAATAACCATAGCCCACACTCTTTCAATGCTCTCCTTCAAGAGTCTCAAAACTTTGAAACTGAAATGTATAATGCGTCATGTATTTTAAGTACCCTTCCTCATTGTGAAGTATGTATTCACGCTTTGTTTAGTAACCAGTGGCAAATGCTATCATGCAGTACAGATGAGCACGGCAGCAACAGCACGATAGGAAATACCTTGAACAAGGCAAAGAAAGTTGTTGCATTATCATGAAAGGCAGAATCCATTCCTGCATTCTTAAGGACAGCAAGGCAGGATAGAAAGAGACCTTTAATGTCAAGAAATGTATGAGAAAAGTACCAGTCTGACTGGCACTTATCCACCACCTCGAGAGGTCTTTCCCGCTCTACGCCTACGTGCTGTGTCGTGATGACTTAGAAAGGACGTCACTTCCTTCTCGCTCACTCTCCTGCTGTATCTCACACCGTCTGACTCAAAGAAAATGAAGGGCGATTAAAACTGTTGGTGTATAAGGGAAATAGTTTATCATTGTTAATATGACAGTCTTAGATTTTATAGCAGCCTTTTTCACCTGGGAAAGAACATGTACAATCCTTAAGCAAAAGTTCTTTTAGGATAACTTAAACATGAAAAAAGTTGGTTCCTGTGCTTTAAAACTCTTGATTTGTCTAATTCACATAGTAAATTTTAAACCTTTTTAAAACCATAAAATATGCTTAAAACTTAACCTCCCCAAGAGATGCTGTTCTATCTTCCAGTTCTTAAGCTTCTTTCAGAGGGTTTGCTAAGATGTGGACATTACTTTTCATTTGTGATGTTTGAATACGGATCCAAACAGTATATTCACTCATGCTGAGAAGGAGAGATCTCGAGGCCAAGAGAGAAAATCTAAGATTCCTCATGAGTTGGATGTAGAGTGGGCAGAGTCTCAGACACAATGTTGCCTGGCCACTTACCTCTTTTTAGTCAGCGTGTTCTTGTGAAGTCATGGTTCAGAAGGGGCCTCAGAGAATGTCTAGTGTATCTCTTTGCCAAAAACAAAGTACCCAAGCATGTGGGTTTCTCTTCTTCCAAAATTATATGCCACTAATGGGTATGGCAGTATGCACTGGCCAGTGAACAGAACTGTCAGAACCACCATTCCAGGTCTCTGGAAATCAGCTGAAAGCATTGAGAAGCATTTATTCCTAAAAGTCTGCTGTGGTTTTGGGTCAGAACCACAGAGTCTGCGGCTGTGTGAGGCCCTTCCACCTGAAGCCCAGCCCCACCCACCTGCCTTGCCCAGCACGCTTGCAGAGGCCAGGGCACTTTCACCAGGTGGGCCTGGCGGCTCTGCTCTCAGAGGGAATGGGCTTGACATAGGGAGCAAGAGATGAAAATGCACAGATATGTCAGCTAAAATTGTCAAACTTCATAGGAAACAAACAAGAACAGCCTGTACCTTTCCTGGCCTGAGGCTGCAGTCTCGGATTAGGTGAAGGGTGTGTTAGCCAGAAACGTAACCCTAGTACCCTGGAGGCAAGGCAGCAAGAGTAGGGCTAGGATAGCTCACAACCGTCTGGCCGCTGAGAAACCACGTGCATGCAGGGAATGAGCCTCACTGCAAGTAAAAGCCAAGGCATGCCGGGATCGCACCGAAGCTTCCGCTGTGCTTTCCAGCCCCCACACAGGGCGAGCTTTCTGGGCTCCCAGTGTTTGAGCACAGCCTCTGCCTAGATCCTAACTTAACCAATTAGCTTTTCAGGCCCAGGGTGACTTCTAGCAAGTCCAGCTAAAAAATACAAATGAGAACTAAAATTTGAGTGGGGATAACAGTGGCCACGATACAGGTTTGAATACCATCCTCTCAAATGCTGCCAATAGGATACCGCAGAGGCCCCGGGACGTCTCTGTAATTGGTCACAAAGGACTGTGACATCCGACTTCCTCGCAGACTCTCCCCATTGCCTTGCTGGCCTGTCCATTCGCATGGAGCAAGCTGCCCTGGAGGCAGGGAAGGGAGGCGCTCAGGCCTGTGGCCCCAGGGAATCAATGCTACCCGTAGCTACCGAGTGAGCTCGGAAGTGGACCTGCTCCTAGCTGAGCCTCCAGACAGGACCACCAGCGCCTGGGCTGACGTCCTGGTTGCACCGAGAGACACTGCGGTGCAGATGTCCTTGATAAGTAGTGCCCAGACTCCTGAACCCTGAAAGCTGTGTACTGTTTGTGTGGTATATCCATACAACACACCCCTGCTCAGCAGTCGAAGGCTAATGTATGCAGCAATGCTAAGTGAAGGACGCCAGGCACAAAATATTCACATCATGTGATTCCACTGATAAGGATTTCTAGAAGTTACAGTGTAGAGAAAAAGCAAATCGGTGGTTTTGTCTGGCAGTGGGGGTGGGGATTATAGGGGATGCATGGAAGGGACTCTAGGGGAGTAACTATAATGTTCTAGAACTGGATTTGTGGGTGCCTGACTCTGGATATTAACCAAAAATTTTTCAAAATACTGTTACTGTGCATAAATTGAATGTATGTAAATCAGATGTCAATACAGCTGTAAAAAATGTGTATGTCTAAGGAAATACAGTTTTAATCTCCATTTGCTGCCCTTCTCAGTGCTGTAATATTTACAGATACGAAGGCTTTATCGTTTACCCAATGTATGTCCTCCTGTGGTCTATGGAAGCCACCTCATTTCCTGGACAGCCTCCCAGCACGCTCCACAGCTGCTCCTGTGCCTCCTTCCTCGCCCTGGCCCTGCCCGTCGGGGACTCCCTTGTGGCGTTTTGGGCACACAGCCGTCATTACTGGAGGCTGGATAGACTTCCTGGTGTCATGGGTGCCTCCGTGGATACTTTCCACTTCTCTACTTCTGTCTTGTTCTTTTCCGTGACCTCGTTTATCAGAAACGATTGGCACATCTAATGCTTCCTAAGCCAGCTCTTCGCTTGCATGCATGGCGCCTGAGATGCAGTTGATCATTTCTGCTGCTGTGACAGAGGGAGAGATGTATGGATGTGTTTTTTTCCTGTCAGATGCATTTGTATCTCAACAGTTCATTTTTAAATGTGAAATCCAGGCAAAGCTTTGTTCTCACTGGTTTTCTTTCTTTCCTTCTGGGACCACCATGGAATGATCTGAGGACTGAGGTCAGTGTGTCTCCTGGGTGTTCTGTCCTGCCAGTAAACTCAGAGGGCTTGCAGATAAACATCACATAATATATGTACTCCCTCTGCTTATGTTCAGACCTCTCCCAACTAAATTCAATTTATTCTAGTACTTATTTTTGGTCTATGTCTCACTGTGTTTTCCTTTAAAATATCCTTCTTAGGTTTTTAATGCCACGGGCACTTTTTAAGGGCAATAAAATGGCCAGTAAGAAAGCTCTCTGCTACATTATTTTGAAGTCTCCCTCACACATATTGTTTAAACACTCATCTGAGCAAGATATTTGCTGGGTGGCTGAATAAAGTCTCCCAGGGAGGCCAGGGCAGTTCAGGCCCTGCTGCAGAGCCTGGCCTGTGGCATGGCAGAGGCCCAGCTGCAGGTGTGTGGCGGGACCCTGGAATGGGATCGGGGCACCTGCTCTCACCCCGTTCCAACATTTGCTGGTCACATTCCCCCAGTAAAGTCCTAACCTCTGTGAGCTCTTCTGGTTTGCTCATCTATAAATTGGGGATGAATCTTGTTACTCTATCTTGCAAGGTTGTCTCAAGGATTGAGTGAGCTAAAATTTAATGAAGGTATTCTATAAACCATTGAAGTGAGTTTATTTAAGTATTCACATAAAAAACTTAAGCAGAATGTAATGAATTATTAGCCTGGAGAAGACTTGTTTTTTTTTTTTTGAGAGGGCATCTCTCATATTTATTGATCAAATGGTTGTTAACAACAATAAAATTCTGTATAGGGGACTCAATGCACAGTCATTAATCAACCCCAAGCCTATATCTCAACAGTCTCCAATCTTCTGAAGGATAACGAACAAGTTCTTACATGGTGAACAAGGTCTTACATAGTGAATAAGTTCTTACATGGTGAACAGTGCAAGGGCAGTCATCACAGAAACTTTCGGTTCTGATCACGCATCATGAACTATAAACAATCAAGTCAGATATGATTATTCGTTTGATTTTTATACTTGATTTATATGTGAATCCCACATTGGAGAAGACTTGTTTTTGAAATGTATTCACTAGTTTTAATGAAGTTAAAAGACTATTTTAAAAACCCAGCCAGTTATTACATAACATAGATGGGCTCTGTAAATTTGTAAACAAAGTGAACACTAAGAGAAGATGGATACTTTCTTTAGGGGAAACAAAATAATATCTCATTGCAAGCTTTCTCCTACACCCTGTGGGTTACTTTTTCAATAGCTTTTTTCTACACTGACTCTGCTTAGTTCCTTTCTTTAAGTTCTAGAAAATTTTGAAATGGTGATAATGCACAAACTTTTTGGCCTCTCTTGCAAACTGTTTCAGGTCACTGAAAATTGCCATCGGCACCTTTGGGGCCTAGAGCATAATTCTGACCTCCTCCCTGCAGGCTCGTCCCGTGGATTACCCGAAGGACTGCCTTTCTCACCAAGTTCCCGTCTCGTTCCACAAACACTGGAACATCGACCCAGTAAAGGTGTATTTCACATGGCTGGCACCCAGCGAGGAAGACAAAGCCAGGCAGGAGGCGCAGAAAGGCTTTAAAGAAGAGTTGTGAAGCGTGGCGGACTGTGGGCCTGGTTCGGGCAGGACACGGAAGCAGAGCCGGCCTGTCCTGCTGGGTGCCAGGGGGCACTGGGATCTTCCTGACTTCAGGTGGAAATTATGTACATGGTATTTCTTGAGGAGGGACTATATGGAGTCACAGGAGAAACATTTTTTTTCTGAGGAAAATCACCTGCTTTGGCATTATGCAGTTATTGAAGTACATCCTGGTTACCGTGTATTTTTCAGGCTGTGATAAAGCAGCTTTATTACCCCCAGAGACAGTTAAGTGGTGCAGACGTCTCCTTCCTGTTTTCTCTCTTCATTATAGTGAAAGTTTCATATGGGGATGAGACTGGACAGACAGACGTCTATATAAAGATGAGGGAAAGTCTGTTGACATGGATATTACGATGATGTGAATTTTTTAACCATATTATTGATGATAAAAAACTATTTCCTGATAACTCAGTAGGAATAATGCTATCTTAAGTGTCATTCATAAAACATCATAAAAGTCTAGATATGAAATCCCCTGTAGTCTGTAATCAGGGCTGTTCAGTTTTATCTGTTTGGGCCTCATAAAAAGAGAGTAAGAACTCTTCTGCAAGAGCTTTCTGTTTCTTTAGAGGTCCGTCTGTGTTGTATTTCCCTCTGAAGTCCGATCTTTATGGCCTGGTCCTAGCACGGGAGTGCACAGGACGCTACCAGGAAATGGCCTTCTCAACAGTCAAAGACAATGTCGTTGTGTCTGAGTCAAGTCGGTGGGCTCTGTGTAAGTCTCAGGAAGTGAATTAAATTAATATATACCCGATGTTTTACTCCCACTTTTCCTTGAATGTTACTTAATGATTTTCTCTTGACTCAGAACAGACCCCCCACAGGGTACCCTGAAATCCTTGTGGAAGGCCGGCATGGTCACCTGGCATTTCCCAGGGTTCTTGAAGAATTAAATTTGAATGTAGTGTTTTGAAGCAGCTCTAATTTTCAAATCATATCTTTAATGTATAGTAATTTAACACATTCATTATTGATTTGTAAAAAGTTCTGTTAATGTTTTAATCATGTAATTCAGTGTTCTTAAAGGTATTTGCATAAAATTTGATTTTGGTATGTCTTAAACTAATTTTGGTATAGTAAAATATTTTCCTCATTTTTTAAATAAAAATTGCTATTCATTAGCTTTGCCTGTAATGCTTTTATAGCCAAGCCCAGGGTTTTGAAGCCATACCACCAAAAGTACCCATTAGTGTTTTTAGTAATGTATTTTCCTTGTAGCTGAGATTTGACTCATTTCCAAAATGATGAAATAGTATTTTTATCATGTTTCCAAGTTAGCAAATACCAGGACTGGTATGTTTTCAGTGGAACTGAATGCACTGGAGTCATTTTTGTGAAAGTGAATTTTGTGTCCCCTCCCAGGCGTGGATGGATCAGGCACCCCTTCATGTTGTCTACAGCAACACCCCGGAGGGCCTAGCTGCCTGACCCCAGCAGGAGTGGTCAGTTCCTGCGGCTCCTTCCTACCAAGGGTCACACTCAGAATACAGTGTAGTTGCTTGACGGCATCAAGGCAGCATCTGTACATTAGGACCCCCATGAAGCTTTCTTCTGTGTCACCATCAATCAGTGCCTTTATATATACCCGATGTTTTACTCCCACTTTTCCTTGAATGTTACTTAATGATTTTCTCTTGACTCAGAACAGACCCCCCACAGGGTACCCTGAAATCCTTGTGGAAGGCCGGCATGGTCACCTGGCATTTCCCAGGGTTCTTGAAGAATTAAATTTGAATGTAGTGTTTTGAAGCAGCTCTAATTTTCAAATCATATCTTTAATGTATAGTAATTTAACACATTCATTATTGATTTGTAAAAAGTTCTGTTAATGTTTTAATCATGTAATTCAGTGTTCTTAAAGGTATTTGCATAAAATTTGATTTTGGTATGTCTTAAACTAATTTTGGTATAGTAAAATATTTTCCTCATTTTTTAAATAAAAATTGCTATTCATTAGCTTTGCCTGTAATGCTTTTATAGCCAAGCCCAGGGTTTTGAAGCCATACCACCAAAAGTACCCATTAGTGTTTTTAGTAATGTATTTTCCTTGTAGCTGAGATTTGACTCATTTCCAAAATGATGAAATAGTATTTTTATCATGTTTCCAAGTTAGCAAATACCAGGACTGGTATGTTTTCAGTGGAACTGAATGCACTGGAGTCATTTTTGTGAAAGTGAATTTTGTGTCCCCTCCCAGGCGTGGATGGATCAGGCACCCCTTCATGTTGTCTACAGCAACACCCCGGAGGGCCTAGCTGCCTGACCCCAGCGGGAGTGGTCAGTTCCTGCGGCTCCTTCCTACCAAGGGTCACACTCAGAATACAGTGTAGTTGCTTGACGGCATCAAGGCAGCATCTGTACATTAGGACCCCCATGAAGCTTTCTTCTGTGTCACCATCAATCAGTGCCTTCTACTGATACTGGAGCATCTCCTCTGGTACTTTTAGGTGTTTTGTTAATTATGTTTACTTTTTGGCACTGTGTAAGCCTAACCACAAATAAAAGCTCTTTGCCTAAGTTTCTAATTTCTCAAATGTATTCATTAGTCCAACCTAGAGTGGGAGGGGTATGGGCAAGAGGAATCAATGAAAACAGAGAAAAAAGTTGGCAGCTCAGCAAATACAGTGTTGAGAGAGAAAAATTAATAAAAAGCTATCCTTTTAATTGAAAAATTCCATCAGACCGAAGATATATTTATACAAAGTCAATAAAACCATTATTGATTTTATTATATAACAAATTGGAGATGTTATTTTGGAACTATCTTAAGAACTAAGATTTGAATCTGATCTATCTTTCCAGGGCAGATATTGTCCTATTCATATTTCCTTGCTTTTTTAATTGGAATTTATTTCCGAACAGCTGTTTCTCTCCTAGGGAAATCAACATCAAGGAGTTATATGTGGAATGATTGGAAAACCATTTGTGCTTTTGGCTGCTTCTGCTGATAAAGCTAAAAGCAAGTTGTCTGACTATGTAGGATTTCTCTGTATTGCAGCTATGTAAGAAACCTAGACCAAACATAGCCTTTATGAAATATTTGGGGACATAAAACAATGGCATGCTAGGCTGCAAGTGATGAAAATATCAGTGCTCTGAGTTTCCTGATTATTGGATACCTTTAGTGCTTCTACATCCATATCCATTACAATGTTTATGTATTTTTCCTCAAAAATTAGTAATACAGGAATGTTAGAGGAATAATTTTAGAATTTTAAAAATGTTTCTATTGTCTTTTGAATACCTACAAACCAGATTCAAGAGTAACAGGTGCCTGCTTCAAAGATGATATGCACATGTTATTTAGAATGCTACGCTTGAGATGTCTATCAGGGATAGCCATGTACTTTATGAGGTGCTTTTTAAAAAATTCTCTCTTTAATCACCACCTCTGAAGCTTCCATATGACCTTCTATAACCCCCACTTCCATCACAGCCTCAAATCTCTCCTCTGCGACGCCCTGTCCTTCCTTGGACACCCCCGTCCTTTCCCATCACCCTCCCCCACCTCTCCCCAGCTCACAAGTCACCACTTTTCCTTCCCACTGCTTCCCTGGCCGCCACCGCCACTATGAAGCGCATGCGCATCTCCACAGATGGTCAATCAGGTGGATCGAGAGTCAGGTATGCTTCCGACTAACTTTGTTAATGGTGCATGGAACCTTCTGGCTAGTGCCACTACCCGTTCTAGGGATGTCATGAGGAGCACCCAGATGGGCCAGCAAAATAACTGTCTCTGTTGGAGAAGCTCAGGCCGGTGAATCTTCCCACGTCATTGTTTTTACCTTTGCTATAGTCCAAAGGACTGTACTGTCACACCAAATTATTTCATCAGTACCTGAAAATGGTGTTCATTTTCTTAAAAAGAGAGGATCATTGGTTTCTTCTACTTGTTACACTTATTTTGGATTTAGATACACTGTTTTGCAACTGTTTTTCTAAATAGCATTCCCGGACTTTTGAGAGGACTCTTTACCTTTGGTTCCATGTGGGTTAGCATGAGAGGAATGTCAGAAGTGAGTGATTCTGGTACACTATACGTATCACAGAGAGCTGGAATATTTTGTTGCAGTTCATTGTTTTTATCAGATTGAGAATTTTTGTTTATTCCATAACATCGGCAAGAGTTAAAATTTTGTTCTTAAAAACAATGTAAGTGTGAAACATTACCCTTTTAGAAAATGGTCTTTAATATCCTGAATATGAGAGCAGAATGTGGACACACTCAGAGCTTTCTGTATCATCTCCTCCAGCTGACCTGACCTCTTCATCCACCTCACACAACAGAGTTTTTGGCAGTGTGTGCAAATCAAGGGGTTGTGTCCTTTAACACCCAGGGACAGTCTCCCTCTGTTACTCTGGCAAGGCTTTGCTCCTTGACTACAGTCCCTACATGCCAGCCCCTCTAGCATGTGCAGCAGGACCCTGACCTCACGGCTCGGCACCCAGTTCTACCATCTTGCAGTCCTTCTGAGGGAACATTTTTCATGAAACGGGTATGGTATGGGTCACTCAGGGAAGGGAGTTCCAGCACCAAAGAAGGACCACCACAAGCATCCTCATATCCTTCTAGCAGAGTACACACAGCTGGAGTTCAAACTGCATTAAGGTCTCTGGATATTCTTTTCCCGGGCACTGGCCCTGCTGTGGTGTAAGATGCATTTATGCTAATCCATGTGGGGCCTGAGTCCAAGTGAAAAACTGGAAAGTTTCAAAGTAGGAAGTTAATAACTGTTAGATTTCTATGAGGATATGCAGGGGGTATAACAAGTGATGCATATAAATGTTTCAAAATGAAGGACAGAGAACATGAAGTGACTTGCAAAAAAATAAATCAGAATTCATACTTTTTTGATCTAGGAGAATGAAATGTAATTATTTTAATTTCAAGTCTAAGAATCCAAAAGTGCAGGTAAAGTTCATTTTTAAAAAATGGTGTCCATGCCTGACATCCCAAAGAGGTGGTTTTATAGTCTGCCCCTGGGGCACGCCCTTCCCTGCTGTGTGTGACCCCCGCATGAAGGCGAGCCAGGGTCATCCGCAGATCTCGTAAAGCAAAAGCTCACTGCCTTTCTTCAGCCGACTCTCTCACAGTCTCTCACTGCCTACCGGATGAAGTCCTCTCCCGACAGGTCTGCCTTTCACCGTCTGTCCCTGCTCCCTGCCCCCAGTCTGTGTCACACCAAGTGACCGAGATCTTGGACTCTCCCGACGGACCCCACTCACTCGAGGCACCAGGTCAGGGCTTTTTGCATACCATTCTCTGCTCCTCACTCCCTTCCACCACTTATTTTTCACTATACAACTTAGACATCCTTCAGGAAACCTTTCCTGACTTCCAGGGCGAGGTCATACACATTGTCTGCTATACTGCAGCCCGCTGTTATATGTATATGCAAGGGTGCAAGTCCCGAGGGGGCAAGGACTGTGTTTATGACTCATTAGATCCCAGTATCTGGCATGAAAATATTTGTTGAATGGGTAAACCATTAGATTCCATGTAGGAGAGCCATGTGGGTTCAGTGCCTCTTGTGGGTCTCCTGAGAACAAAAAAGGAGGAGGCCATGAGCGGGCAAGGCTGTGAGGCACGGTGGGGATGGGTCCGGTTGATGAGAGTCCCCGGCCTGGCGTGGCGAAGGAGCACTGACTAGTCACAGGCAGGGATGAGAGAGAGATCGGCGGGCCACTGGGCACCTCGGAGTGCCCAACAGACATCAAGTACCATGCTATGGGGGATGGAGGGATCGGGACTGGCATGGAGCCAGGTTCACAGCTTGGGGGCCTTCAGTGTTTGCATCTGGGGCACTGGAGGAGACCAGCAGTGAGGACAGGAGTCTCGGAGGCCTCTCCAGACACACATCCCCTAGGAAAACTGCACAAAGGAGAGTATGATTGACTCATTTCGTTTCCATTTGTGACTGGAAAACTAAGCAACTGGGCATCCCTTCAATGGGAAATGTATAGTGGGAAAGAAAGGGGACAGAAATTTACCCAAGTTTTGAAAACAAAATAAAGTTAGTGCTGAATGCTATCTGACTCCTAAGGAGACAAACAGCCATGGAAGGTGTTTGAAGACAATTCAGAGCATGATGTACCCTGTCTGGGGGGTGGGGGTGGGCAC